GGGATGCTGTCCCGAAGGCGGACCGAATGGGATCGAAGTTTGACCACTCGTCCGGGGTGGAGGCGGCGCGGGAGGTTGCGATTGCGGTCGGGGAGGACCGACGGGCGGCATGGCCGAGTATGGGGACGCCGGGGGATGGGAGACCGGGGGCGGCGGCGGCGGCGGCGTGGGATGTGACGAGGGTGGCATGGATCCCGACGGGTACAGGTGAGACGGACGAGGAAAAGCGTCGGATGCGGGAGGACTTGCAGCGGGGCGTCGACGGCGCAGGAGCTGCAGGAGCCGGAGGCGCGGTGGGATGCGTGGAAGGCACGGCGGAGGAGACGGTGGTGGGAGCGACCTCCGAAGTCGCAGTCGACGGGATATTCTGGTCGGACGAGGCTTCCAACTTTGGTTTCTTGCGTGTGTGAGAGGAATTGGAGGGATTGGTAGAGGTGGAGGACGATTTATCTCGCTGACGACGATTGCCTCGTTTGGACTCTTTCTGATCGGCTTCTTTGTCGCCCGGGTTCTTCTCCTTCAGGTTCTCCTTGTTCTCCTTTTCCTTGTCTTTGGATTTGGTGGGTGTCTCCTTCTCTTTGCGATCTGGGTCGTCGTCGTCCTTCTTGCGACGCGACCGACGGGGGCGAGATTCACGGGGTTGAGGGTCGCGCGACTGGTGATTGTCCTGAGCCGGCCAGACGGACGGCTCGGGGGACATGATGGAAGAGGAATTAGAAGAGGGACATCGAGGTTGGAGGGCGTAGGAGAGCGTCGGCGGAGGGCGTTGTGGAGGACTTTTTCCCTTCGTTTTTGATTCTTTTTGCAGGAATTTCGGATTGATTAGATGAGGAGGATCACGAAATGGAAGAAAGGAAGATAGATTGAAGAGAATGAAGGGGAGAAACGAGATGGAAGGATGGGAAGAGGGTGACGAGAGAATGAGGTTGATACGGGGGGTAAGAAGAAGAACACAAACCAGATGACACGAAACAACGACGGGAAAAGGGGGGGTTAAACGGGGAGAAGGGATTGAGGTAGAGTCCGGGAGGAGATGGTGGAGGGGAGCAAAAGAGAGAGAGAGAGAGAGAGAGAGAGATAGAAAGAGAGAGAGGGATAGAAGGAGAGGGAGAAGAAGGGAGAGAAGAGAGAAGATGGAAAGGGAGAGGAAGAGGAAGAGGAGAGGAGAGGAGAAGGATCCGATATTGGGAGAAGTGAGGAAGAGTAGTAGTGTATGTAGGAGGGAATGGACCGGAATACTTCGAGATGGTCTCGGCGGATGATGATATAAGTCAATGCTGTAACTAACTAACTAGCTATGATTCCAGACAAAGTTAGGAGAGTATATGGTATTGTGTCGAAGGGATTGAATGATATCCTGATAGATTCTATGTTCTATTCTACTCTGTATACTCTTCTACTTCTCTAGACTCTTCTGAAAGTAATGAAATGATACAAAGTAAACGCGAATCAGATGATCGCTCGCTGTTCCCAATCGGGCAGCTTTATCACATGACTCACTAGGCCCCCATTCGGACTAGCGCCATCTCTTTAGCTTTTGAGCCGCATGCTGACTCACCCCCGCCATGCCTCTTTCGGCCTCTGTACAACTTCTTTTCTTCTTCGCCTCAACATCTTCCCTCTCCTCTTCCTCCATCTCTCTGCTCTGTCTGCTGTCATGGCCTTTCGCGGCGAGCGTTTCGTCCTGGATCTCGGCTCCGACGACGAGCTCCCAGAACATGCCTCCACCGAGTCCTCTTCTCTCGCCATCCCCGGCATGATTGGGGAGATCCAGGAACGATCCCCCACCACTGTCCCCGCGCCGCCCAAACCGCCTTCCACCGGCTTTCCAGCTCACCGTCGTCGCAACAAACCCTCCGCTTTTAAACAACGACGAGATGCTTCTTCTGCATTGCCGGATACTGCATCTAAGCCCGCGTCCGGTCTGGACGCCGAAAAGGCTGCCATTGCGGAGGAAAACCGGCGACATCTGGCGTCCATGTCCGTTACGCAGATCCAACAGGAACGGGAGGAGTTGATGGCCACCATGGATTCCTCCTTGCTGGAGCGCTTTCTTCGACGGGCTCGCATCGATGATGATGAACACGATCATCCTCCGTCACAGTCGGCTGCATCCTCTCGCCCGGAACCCTCACCACCGTCACCACCCGCACCAACACTACCTGCCGAAAAGCAACTAGAAAGCACTACCACCACCACCGCCGACTCATCCACCCGCGACGACCTCCCTCCATCCGAAATCCCCTCAGACCTCCACCCAGCCGGGGAGCCCCTCCCAGCCGGTCTACACTTCCCGACGCCCCCGTCCGCAAACAACCCCATGCCAAACCTCGACCCGTCCTCGCCATCCTTCCTCTCCGACCTCCAAACCCACTACTTCCCCAACATCTCGCACGACCCCTCCACCCTCTCCTGGCTGCAACCTCCGCCCTCCGACCCCGATGCCCCAGACGCCACATCCGCCTACCACCCGGCCAGCACTGCCGAAGCCGTCCACCCAGCAAACCTGCGCTTCTCCCTCCTCGGCACGCTCCTCTCCCCAAGCACCTCGCTCGCCCTCCCGACCTCCCTCGGCCTGCACCACCATGGCAAAGACCCCCACGCCGCCGGCTACACCATCCCTGAGCTGGCCATCCTCAGCCGCTCCTCGTTCCCTGCCCAGCGCTGCATCGCCTGGCAGGTCCTCGGCCGCATCCTCTTCCGCCTGGGGAAGGGGCAGTTCGGCGAGCGCGGCAGCACCCTCGTCGAGGGGCTGTGGTCCGTCATTGAGCATGAGAATGTCGTGGCCGGCATGTTGGCCGAAGCCGATGGGGATCAGGCGTCCGGAGCGGGGAGCCGGTCCCGCGCCTCGCAGCAGAAACAGCTGCAGGCGGAGTCGTCCTCGCTAAAAGGCGCCGTCGGAAAACACGCAAGTGCTGCGGCCTGGGCTGTAGAGGGCGTCTGGCTGTGGCAGACGGGCGGTGGGGGAGATCGGGGCATATTGAAGGAAGGGACTAAGCGGGCCCAGTAGTCTACATCATGTATATACCATCCAGCTTGACGCTTGTATCATTGCATATCATACTTACGACATATCAATCGAACGAAATGAATACTCCAGATAACCATGCCCGTAGTCAACCATGCACCGAAGCCATGCTTACACCATAGGAACAAACGCTGAGCAAACAAAAACCATCACTCATCCCGACAACAAAATCTTTCAGGCATAATCCCCCGTCTGCACACCCCAAACCTTCCACCGCGACTCCTCCACAAAGTCCCGACGCAACCACAGTCCGTCCGGCGTCGTTCCCACGTGCGGTTCGTCGTGCACCTCGTCTTCCGCCGTCCACCCGGGCTGCTCGACCTGACTGTCCAACCAGCTAAACAGCAGCCGCAACTGCCAGAGCCGATCGCGGACCTCGTCGGCGTCGTCGGAGCCACGGCTGCGCGCCGCTGCGATCACGTTCTGCACCGTACGCTCGATGACCAGCTTGCTGTCGACGGCGGACTGGCGCAGCCACGGCGCGTAGGACACGGCGCTGGGGTTGTGCGCGCGCGCGGCGCGCCCGGGGAGGGTCGCGGGCAGCACGAGCGCCTTCTCGTGGACGTCGAGTTCCTGCAGGGACGCAAGATTGAAGATCCAGTCCCACATGCTCTGGGAGGGCGTCGCGGGGCGCCGGCTGGAGGCGGTGCCGGAGAGGAGGGTGGCGAGGCTGGGCCATGCGGCGGGCGGCAGGCCCTTGCCGTGGGTCGAGGTGGTGGTCGACGAGGGAAGGACGTCTTGCGCGTCGCTGAGACCAGAGAGCGTCGACGCGAAGACGGAGGAGCCGGCCGGGTTGTAGGTGGCCTTCCGGCGGAGGTAGACGGACTGGTCGCCGTGGTGGAATTTGTCGCGGAGCGCGGGATCACGGGCGAAGTCGAGAATGAGGGGCCAGTAGTCGGGGCTGCGGACCTCCAGCTTGGTAACGTTGGTCAGGTCGGGCAGGAGGCAGGGTGCCGTGATGGTGCGCGCTTCACCGTCCGTGCTGTTCACTGTGATTGGGATGGAGACGGGCCGGCGCGTGTCGATGTCTCGCGGGACCAGACAGCGAGGCTCGGCGGCGAGCACCCACAAATGGCGGAATGCTTGCAAGTGGCATTTGTTGTCCAGTACGGTCGTCGGGAAGATCGGGTACAGAGAGCAGATGAGGGAGGCAATGGCCAGATCCGATGTGCCCAGCGTGTAACTTCCTCCCCCGAGGAAGAGCAAGCCGATGGCCATGTGGGCTGCCATGTGACTGCCATATGGTGTCTCGGCATCCACTCGTCCATGAAGGGAGCGCAGTCGTCTAAACAGTGCTAGATCTCCGGTTCCAGCCATGACTGTTGCGGCGGACAGGGCAACAATGTCCTGGCAGTGTCGTACCGAGTTGCGCGCAAGCTTTCCGTCATAATTGACCGCGGGGAGCCGGCAGATGCGGATGAACTGGTCCAAATAGGATAACAGTAGGTCACGAACGGTAGGCTCTGCAGAGCCCGCATAGCGCAGTCCTAGGGAAAAGCAGAGACCTGCGATGATGTTGAAGAAAGGCATGTCCTCGCTTCTCAGTCGGCGAACTCCGGTCAAGCGGTACCGGCGACGGTAGATCTTGGGGAGACTGCGGATAAACCATTTGTCGTTGGGACGAATGCTATCCCACATAATGACATGTCTGGCGAGCGTACGGAGGAGGAAAAGGTCAGGCCTGACGTAGTCGAAGCGCACAGTCGTGTCGGGGATATCGATCTTCTGCGCCAGTATCTCATCATTGGTCTTCATAAAGATGATTGCTAGAGCAATCGTCGCCCCGGCTGTGGCGCGGTCCAGAACATGGGCTAGATCAACGTTCTTGGTGCCGACAGCCACGGCCAGCAATCGTTCCACGATATGCATGTCCCGCATGCCTTTCAGGTCCTTGCCCTTTGCGAGGTTGATAAACCCAAGGGACAGACCAGCTGCCAGTCGGTAGCCTTCATCCCGTAGGCTTTCATGCGATGCCGAACTTTCCTCTTGTTCCACATTCTCGATCTCCGACAGCATCACTTCGCTCATTCGGCGGTGCTGCGAGCCGCAATACAGCAGCCCTATTCCCATAATACCGGCTGTTTGGGTCAGAGGGGATAGGTTCAGTTCAGCTGCACCAAGCGGGAGCATTCTCGTTACGTGGACGGATAGCAGTCGGGTGATCAGTGTGTCCATCGTACCCAGATAAGAGGCAGACAACCCGAGCAGCAGTCCGATAGACGTCATTGTATGTTTGGGCGTCAGGTATTTGAAAGCAACCCACTTTGCGAGCGACTTGAGGTGTCCATTGAGACCCAACGCCAACAAAAAGCCCGCATGACGGTTGGTTAGTTCTTGCGGTTTGTTGAAAAGAATCCACGAAGTGTCAATGCCCTTCGAGTTCTTCGATATCGCGAGACCCGTGGAAACGCCATTGTGGAAAAATGCCCAGCACACTTTCTCCTCGCTGAAGGACGCTCGATCGGCACTGATAGTGACATTGGATGGTTTCATGACACACTGCAAGGAGAAGGACGGAATCGGGAGTTTCTCCGTCAGCAGGGGTAGTCGGCCGCTAAACGAGAGCATAGCACGTCCGGTCGGGATAGACAATGTCCGCAACGTCACGAGCTGTACCACTTCTTTCTGTGCTTCGAGCAAGTCCGAGTCACTCCATTCTGGCTCCGGGACACACTCTGCTGCAGGAGGCTTGGACTGATTCAGTAGCCTAGCAGCTTCGATGAAGCGCTTGTCTTCTCGGAAAATAAGTCTGGTTACAGAGAATCGATCAGCCTCAGCAGAAGCTTCGAAGGAGTTAATGGCGTCAATGTCTAGCGCGGAGGCGCCAATGTGATGGAAGTCCCGCATTGCATCATGCGACGCTGCCAGTTGCAATGGCGCGGGCGGTGGTGATATAGTTGTAGTGTGCATTGACACGCTCAAGTCTTCGCGGTCGATGAGCTCTAGAAGAGTCGAACTCCATGATGTCGACGCATGCATCTGGGACTGCATGACAAGCTCGTATAATGGTGCGCTAACTCCCTCAGGGAAGGTTTCTATGATGCTTCGACTGAAACCCCAGCGGTGAAGAAGTTTTACTCGGTCAAGAGATGTCGAAGCGTTGTGTACTTCCGAGAGGAAACCATCCAATGCCAATGTTCGCGGCGTTAGACCGAAGGATTCCTGCCAAAGTCGTCCCTTTCGAGGAGTACGGTCCGAACCAGTGATCAGATTGAGGATGTTGAAAAACGGAGATGACGGCTGGGACCATGCCGTCTCCAGGTAGGAGAATATCGAGGGAGGGGCAAAGGGTTCATGAGGATGGTCTAGCATGGAGATCCGGGTATCTTCAAACTGCCAACGATCGATGCTGGCAAACTCCATGCTGTAGTAGGCGCCTTCAGTCCATGACCAAGATTCCCAGCCGAGCCAACCACCAAGCTGGGCTAACACAGGAGCTAGAAGGCCTAAAGACCTGTGTGACTGTTCATTTTCACAAATAGAGAGCTTCTGCTCTTCACGTAAAAGATGCAGCCCAACCAGAATTGTGCATAGAGCGGTACGACGCAGACTTTGGCTGTAGGACGGCGCCGTGGGCAGATGCCCCTTTGGCCCTATCATCGAACTGCCCTCGGGAGCCTGCAGGAGTTCTCTAGTCAATGCAGCACAGCGAGATAAATAGTGGTTCTTGCGGTACGTAGATCGTCTTGCGCCGGAATCGTCTGCTGCTGATGACTTCTTCCGGGTGTTCGAGCCGGTAAATTCTTCAGCATCTTGTTCCACAACCCATCCCCACGAAGTATTTGCCATCCAAGAAGGCACAACTCCGGCGGCGCCAGACTCTTGATCTAGCATCGCTTCCCAGCTTTCGAGGTCCACGTGGCTCCCGCTGCTGGATCTCAATAAGCCTTTCTTTCTCCGTGTCTGTTTGGCAGGTGTTTGGGCTTGGTCACTCTCAATAAAGGGTATTGCCATCGAGAACAGTATAATGACCATTGCTGTCCATTCAAGGTCGTCAATTGCATTTAATTCTCTTCCACGAAGCCATTTCACCGTATCCCACCAAGCTGTCAAGATACCGTCGCCGGCTTTCTCTGAATCTGGCAGAACAAAACGGCAGACCTTCAGTACCTTCTTCACAAGCTCGTTGCTGGGTTCCATCTGTATCTGAAGCCTGTGCCTTCTGTTGGTCGAGTCGACAACGTCAACTCTGCCTCGAACAGTTGGATGGTCTAGACCGGCAATGACAATAGATGAATCAGTCATGATTCGGTTCACGCCGCTCTCTCTTGGACGGTTGACGGATGAAGCAGATGACACCCCGTACTTCTCATAGAGCATGAGCTTTTTGGGGATGTCTATGAGAATTGGATCGGTCCACGGGGTCTGCAGATGTAATTCATGTTGGCCATTGTCGGCGGTGGTCAATGTCATAATCCGGGAGATATCCCCATCCACCACTTTACAGGCATCCCAGATGCCAGGAAAATGCTGTATACCGGTGGCCTGAACCAACAAAGAGCGCTCATCAGAGGACGAGTTCTTTTTAGACTTCTTCGAGAACACGGCATCTTTCTTGGGGAGCGTAACCTTGTCTGCGCGCAGGTTCACCACAGTCATCGACTTCGCATCCTGGTCGACAACACAGACAGCCAGGGGAGCTGAGTTGCCGTTTTGGGCGCTTCCACACGCAGGAGGGCACAAGGTAACGATTTTGACTCTTCGCGAAGCCCTTGAAGGCTTCACAGGGGTTTGGAATGTCCCAGAGAATCTCGAAGGAAAGCTCTCGACCTTGGACAGCAATACTTCCTCCGGAAGCCCAGACCCTGATTCCTTGAGGTCCATATGTTCAAAGCCCTCGAATAAACTTTCATTATTCAGCTCCTCGAGAAGTCTATCGACCGGGGCATCCACAAAGCTGCTCGTAGTACTGTAGACGGAACCAGTTCCAGGAGGCAGGGAACCTCGAGGATTGAAACCAAAGCTACCGCGCGTGCTACCAGCACCTATTGATTGCCGCAGACTTCCGTGAGGAATAGAATTTGACTGACTGCCAGTCGCCAGATCTGAAAAGGTGATTCTATCCTGACCGGTGGCGAGATCCGCTCGCGCAAGCAGAGAACTCACGCGTCGAGAAGATTTGAGTGGAGCCCCGATATCGAAGTCCTGGCTTAACTTTGAGGCAAAGTCATCTTCATCCGGCTTTCCCTCGGTGGAGTATTGCGAATGAGACATAAGGGAGTTACTCCAGTTTTCCGCACGAGGCCCAAAGCTTTCTCGTGCAGCGGACGGCCGAGCACCTGGAGTTGTCGCGCCTGTCGCCATCCCGAAATGGGAGCTTCGTCGCTTGGACCTGATCCCACCAGTCTCACGGCGTCGCTTTTTCGAGGAGGGGCCAGTTTCATCTTCCCTATATCGTGCAGTCCATATGGTATACAGGCCCGTGTTGGCGTTGGCGGTGACCACGAGGATCAGAGGAACTTTGGAGAGACTTGAAGCCGATGGCAACAGTTCATCCCGTGCGGAAACATATACTATCTCATCCGCTGGATCCAGGACATCCAACCCAGAGGGCCTGCTGGTGACACTAGTCTGCAACCATCGAGAGCTCTGGTTGGTAACCACCAGTCCCATCTCCGAATGAGGATCCATGAGCGAGAAGACGCGGGGGAGATCGGCTTGTTTATTTGGTTTCGATCCGTTATTTTGAGCGGGGGAGATAGTCAACGATGGTCGTTTTCCTTTGCCGCTAGAGGGGATTTCCAATGACTGAGAGGCGCGGAAATCCATGAACGAATTGGGCGGTGCCATTGGATACTGACTGCTATCCAGTAAGGTCTCTTCCTGTGTCTTTCTCTGGAACAATAATCCCCGGGGTGTCGCAAAGACTGACTCGACCTCGAATGGTAGAGGTACGACGTGGCTGTTGCCCGCTAGGAAGAAAATATGCACCTGCGATTTGAGGACCACGACCAGCGCGCGGGACTCGCTATCCTTCGAGTCCAAAGGAGCGTCGCTTCCTGTATCTCGGCTTCGTGCACTCAGGTTTATCCCGGAGACTGCGAGTTTAGCCTCTGCTTGCACTGTCTGATGGCGACTCCGATTCGGATCATTGTTCGTTTGGAATCGACCATTCCCTGCACCTTGCAGACTGCTGTCTGATCGTTTGATCTTACCAACAGAGAAGTCTGTCAACAAGGCATGCCGAATTTCCTCCTGTTCGAGATCCAGCCGAAACACTCGCTTCACAACTCCAGCGCGGGACCAGACCACGCAACTCTTTGTCCACACAATCTCATCTTCGACGGGGCCATTTGAACCTTCTTCCACCGTAGTCGTCCACTCGTACAGATCTTCCGAAGGCTCCGGGGGTAAGAGTTCCTCTGCGACGAGGAAGTGAAGGGCTGCGGGTTCGTGGAGTCCGAGAGACCGGATTGTAGCCATTGTTTATCGGGGTGGCTCGTTAGACGCAGCGGGGAAGTCTCTGGCCGTTGACGCCAGGAGGGAGTTGTATGATCATTGCCGATTCACGCCATGGGATGGAGGAGTGGCGTAGAATATGGCGAGTTGTATGAACTGTATGTGGCGAGGGGCGGTTGTAGTAAGTGTTGATCGATGGACGCGCCGACGCGGCGGGAGGAGCTTCTTTTGGGGTTCGGCGGCGGCGGAATTCCTCTTCCACTCAACCTCATCTCTCATCCATCCCCCTTCACCTTTTCTTGTCTCTCGCCTCGTCGTCTTTGTCGCAGCACGAGGATTGAGCGTTCTCAGTCGCTGTTGACGGCTTGACCATTGAGCTGATCTCTTTAATCCCCTTCGACTTGTTTTTTTTCACGGCGCGACCAGGTCTTTTCGCTGGACCCGCAGACAAGGACAATGCCATCGTTTCCTTCCAGGCCCTTGGTGAGGCCGAGGGATGATGGTCTGCAGCTAAGGTAGTCCTTCTTGATATCTTGATGCGTTCCTAGCACTTACAGGCGCTGATGGTGACGTTCGTCCAGCTACCAACTTCCTCACCGTGTTTACACCGCGAAAGGTTATCCTATCCTCGCCCCCAACGGCTCCTCCATCATTGTCTATGGCTACGAAAGCGGATTGAGGGTGATTTGGAGAGGAGGTCGCGAGTTCGCAGCACCGACTTCTCGTCCGCAGGATGACACCACGCCACAAAAACACAAGCCCAGCCAGCAGAATGGAGACGACGCAATCATGATCATCGATTCGGACGAGGAGAGCGCCCCCGAACCCCCGAAAGAAGAACAACCTGCCTACCAATTTGAAGACGATGAAACAGAAGTCGATCCCGCATATCCATTTGAACATGTCTTGCGCCAGATTGACATCCCCCTTGGAAGTCGGGTTCTGGAGCTCGCAGTCCCTCGTGTTCTCCCCGAGACGGCTCGATCGTCTCTCGACCCTTTTCCTCCTGCGCTGAAGGATGTCATGGTGATTTCCGCAGTGTGCGCAGACTACTCGACTCGCATTGTGACTCTTCCCTTGGCTCCCCCTCATTCCACGCAAGAAGCCAATTCGATCCAGACACTTTCGATCAGTGGGGGAGTGTCCCATCAAGAAATTCCGCGGGGAGTGAGCATCACATTCACGTATCAGGAGAACGAGCCCCAGGAGGACCAAGATATGACGCGGAGCACTTCCCGCTCAAATGGCCCGGGGCGGTGGGATCTTCTTGTGGCGACGCACTCTGCCGAGTCTGCGGGACTTCTTCTCCTGCATCGCATCCCTATCACCGAAGAATTGGAGGACGGTCATACAGTTTACCGCTTGTACTACGAGGATATCGAAACAAAGCGGCGCTATCTGCCTTCTCCAGCCAAAAACATCGCCTTCAACCCGTCCCCCTTCCCGTCCCCGCGTCATTCTACCCTCCTCGTCGCGTTTCACGATGGATGCGTCAAGATCTACTCCTGTTTCTCAAAGAAGCCGTCCCGCGCCTTGCGTAGATCGTCGGGCCCCCAAAGTGGGTTTGAAACATCTGGGACGGAAGGGAAATGGCTGATCAGCCTTTATCCCGGATTTGAACAGTCGCCTACGGGGCTGCCTCGACGAAAGTCGATCATCCAAGCGGAGTGGGTCCTTGGCGGACAGGCGGTCATGGTCCTCATGGCGGATGGTGAATGGGGTGTTTGGGATGTGGAGGGAGCCGGCCCAGGGACTACCAAGGGACCCCTCGAACGCCAATCGAGCGTGCAAGGCGTGACCGGCGGCTCGTTAACTGCTTTCTCCGTCAGTGGACGGATCTTGAGCCCGCTCTCCGGAGGCAATCGATCGGAGAGCGCGCCAGTGGAGCATCGGCCCAAGTTTGCGCCTCTGACACCGTCTACCAAACGTATTCGGGAGGACACGCTGCTCAAGGGGGCGACCGGAGAGGTGACGAGCCCATCCCTATGCGGAGGGATCTCAGTGTACCAAACCAATTCTTACCGCGACGCACTGCCTGATGAATCGGTTCTTCTTCGCCACGGTAACCAGAGTGCCGTCATCCCTAGCCTTCTGTCCCTGTGGCGGAACGCCGTGAAATCGACTGGGACATTTGATGCATCTAACCGTTGCCGGGTTTCTGCCATTCAGGACCTAACTTTGATGGGCGAGCATTTGAAAGGCATTGGGCATCTTCCGGCTGCGACTCGCCGTACACGCGAAGCGGATGGCCAGAACTTTGATATTCTGCTTACTGCTGAGCATCGAATCCTGATTCTGGCACCGAGATTGACTGAATATGAGGAGCCATCTGTCTCGCGACGGTCTATGAGCGAGACGCCCAATGCAGAGGCTGACCAGATCATGCTGCGCCGCGGAGAACTGGACGTCAACGGCATGGACCGGTTGCTCAGTGGCATGGCGAACGCGAATCAGTCTTTGCGGATGGGAAGCCCTATCAAACGCGCGCGCATTTTCTCTTGAATGCTGTCCCTTTTTGACGTGCTTGCATAAGGAAGCTAATTTGCTATGAAGTGTACGATACGGACAGATCTTTTCGTGCGAAATCAGACCTGCCACTGAGCTTGGAGACGGACATACGCCGCGAGAAGAGAATGTAATAGTGCCAATAACATGCGTTCCAACGTCAGGACATACAAGCGAAAAGTTCACTGATACCCAATTGAAAGACTATTGATGCCCCCTCCCTGCAGATAGATCCACTATTCGCGCTGTAAGGTGGAGCGCAAGGCGAGGACCATGCCTTGAAATCCTTCCTTTGGAAGGATAAGCTCTGTATCGGCTGCGATATATCAACGAGCCAGTTGGCCGACTCCATGGACCCAGTTCGCTGGACCTTGTTCAGTTACTACGACAACCACTTCATCACACCCAGCTGGGCTTTCTGTTTGTCTTTGTCTGGAGAATCGAGATAGATCTGTCCGGCTTCGGCGGGCGATGTCTGGTATCAGACTTGGCCTTGGACACGTTCTACATCTGTCTTGATTCTGCGGACGGGCGACAGCCAGTTGGAGTGGCGGAGATGGAGAATGGAACAAGGATAATTGGAGACATCCATGTAGTGTCTGTGATTTGCGATGCAACTGTATGGTGATGTTGCATATTTTGAAACGGACTGTCTCGGACTCATTTACAATGTCAGGCACACAACGTCAGGCACGGACCAACCACCCAGGCACAGACGACCATACAGCTCGTGCCACAAGGTTACACAAGTCTTCCGTTCAACAAGCACGCATGCGCATTCCTATTTGCATAACCGGACGTGCACCGCACTCGAGAGGCGTGTGCCTGGTGTCTATATTTCCGAATGTTAAGTACAGCCAGACCAAAGATTGGAATGTCCCTTTGAGAATCCATATTGCTCCGTAGGCCTCAGGGTCATCATGAGCACATGAGGCTGTGTGTTCATTCTTGGACCTGCCTTCAAGTTCTTCGGATGTGGTCTCAAGGGACGGGAATGTCCTTCTCGTACGACTCCCCACGGGTTGCTCGGGTTTACCACGGGGATTTATGCATTGCTAGTGTGGTCCGTGTTGTGTATATGGGCATCCGCCAGACAAGATACCCAACAGTAGGTTCCTGATTGTGGTGCGAATGGATCCTGTAGGGTCAATTAATGTAGAGGCGTTCACTAGACCCCAATGCATCGTCGCCAATTCGAGCATCTTGCAGCCGAACTAGCCTCGGAGTCGATTTCCACACATATCTCAACGCCTTGCATTCCTTTTATTTTTTAAAGGATGCAATGTAACACCGCCAACGCAGCAATGTAGAACTAATTGTCCACAGATGAGCTCTCATACCACGATGCATGTCTAACCTGCAAGGGGTGAGGAACAATGCAAGTAAGGGCACTCGGTGTCCCGAACCAGCCATTTCAAGCCATTTCAAAACAGCCTATGAACTCCATATGCTCTATATATAACGATGGCCATCGTCTCCCAGTCAATGGAGAAGCAATCACTATTTTTCGGCCAGCCCCAGCGGGTGATATACTTCCGCCATGCGTTTCTCCCTCTCGCTGCTCGGCCCTGTCGCCCTGCTCGTAGCCTCAGTCCATACAGCAGAGGCCCAGGATGTGCCACCGGCAAACAGCTCCGAGGTGCAGCGGCACTTTCTCGCGCGCGAGGCCATGATCACGCTGGAAAAGCGACAGCGCCAGGGTTCGACCCTTACAATCCACCGTACGCGGAGCAAGCTAATACTTGACAGATCACAACTTCCGGCTGGGACTCTCCCCGGTAGCGCAGCAAGCCGACGCCATCGTGCAGATGATCCGGCAGGAGGAGATCGACGACTTCTGGCGCCACCCAGGGACGCCCGAGAACCCGGAGGAGGAGCGGTTCGCGGGCGAAGTGTTCCCCAAAGCGCGGCCGTACATTGCGCAGACGCAGCTGTGGCGGATCGTGAAGCGCATGCCCAAGGGCGCGCTGCTGCACGCGCACCTGTCGGCGATGCTGCCGTACGAGACGATCCTGCGCACCATCATGAACACCGAGGGCATGGTGATCTCTGCGTCGCACGACGTCTCGACTCAGGAGCGCGCGGAGAACGCGACGATTGTCTTCTCGCATGTCAACACGACGCTGCCGCAGGACCAGCCCTCCATTAGCTCCCCGGACTATGTGCCCGACACAAAGATCCCCGTGCAGGAGGCGGCCATCTCCTTCCCCGGTGGCGCGGAGGGCTTCTTCCGGTTTGTCTTGTCGAAGATGACCGTCTCGCCGGAGGATTCGATCCGCCACGAGCTGGGGGTCGATGAGATCTGGAGAAAGTTCCAGAGTTACTTTGATCCGGCGGGGACTATGCAGACGTATGAGCCGGTTGTGCGCACGTTCTACCAGAAGCTGTTTGAGAGACTTGCGGAAGATGGGATCCGCTGGGTGGAAATCCGCGCTGGCGGCTCCTCTGGGAAACTGGTGCACGATGGCGACGAAGACCCGGATCCGGATCTCGATGTCTGGTGGGAGGTGCTGGAGGAAGAGCTGGCGAAGTTTCAGGACAGCGAGAAGGGGTCGAAGTTCTGGGGCGCGAGGATTATCTGGTCTGATTACCGTGGGAAGCAGGGAGCAGCTTTGACCAGCAGTAAGTTGCCAGCGCCTTAGGTGAATTTTTCTGACATGAGACATCAGGTATGAGCATTGCACTAGAGCGTAAAGAGAGGTTCCCCGAGCTATTCAGTGGATATGATGTGGTTGCGCAGGAGGACCTGGGACATTCATTGATCGAGCTCGCCCCCGAGTTCATTTGGTTCCAAGAGCAGACCGAGCAACGCAATCTCACGGTGCCTTTCTTCTTCCATGCCGGAGAGACCTTAGGCGATGGCAATGCCACAGACCTGAACCTCTTCGACGCGGTGCTGTTCAACACGCGGCGCATCGGCCACGGGTTCTCCTTGTACAAACACCCGAAGCTGATTGATGTGGTGGTCGAGAATGGCATCATGGTCGAAGTTTGTCCGATCTCGAACGAGGTGCTTCGTCTTGCAACCGACATCCTGCACCATCCATTGCCGGCCATGATTGCGAATGGCGTCCCGACCGCCATTAGCAACGATGACCCAGCCATCCTGGGTCAGGACGCCGCCGGGCTTAGCTATGACTTCTACCAGACCATCCAAGCTTTTGACAATCTTGGACTGGCTGGATTGGTACGTCTACAAGAGGCATGCGATATATATTAGGACTAACTCGTGCACAGGGAGCGCTGGCTCAGAATAGTCTCCGCTGGTCTAATTTTGAAGACCAGAATGACGCCGACTGGCTGCGAGACATCGATCTTGCAGAGCATGGGAAAGGAGTCAAAGGCGAGCGCATTCGCGCCTGGAACGAAGAGTGGGAAGAGTTCTGCCAGTGGATTGTAGACGAGTATAGTCACCAATATGCGGTGGCGGAGATGTGAAGATCTCAAATCATTTGCAGACCAAGAGGAGTAGATATCCCCTACATGAAATATCAATATACACAATGGAGTAGCCATATGCAAGATAGATGGTTTAATGAACAACATGAAGTATATAGTGCGATAGTCTTCATGCAACATATGCCCTTGTTCAGCTCGATCGTTGCGCCCTCCATCGAGGACCGAGCCGAATGGCAGTCCACAGAAAAGGTACAGGGGCCAAGGTGACCAAAGCAACCAAGGTAAAGCACCATCCATACCCCATGCTGCTCACCATTGGCTCCAGCGCAGCAGTGGCGCCGGCTCCCAGCAGACAGCGGACAAAGTGTCGCGACGCTGCTGCCGCCGATGCAGCCCTCGGGTTGAGATCAACCAGCAGCGTGCTGAATATGCTATTGGCGGCGGTCGTAGTCGCTCCGAGAAGAAACAACATTACTGTTGGCACCGCCAGATGTACGCGGAAATCCAGAACCCATCCGAATGCAATGACCGCCAGACCCCCGACTGCCATGAGAGGGAAGACTGGTAGCAAACGGGCCTTCTCAATGGGAAAGCCAGTGAAATTCCGGGTGTGAGCATTGGAGACGGGCAGGTTCAGTCGCTTCGCAAGGCGTCTATAGTTGGAATCCAGCATCTTTCCCGTCCCGATGCAGGCAACCATGGCTCCGAACCCCAGTGGGAGATAGCACAGCCCGACCTGAAGACTATTCAAACCATATAGCTTCTGGTAAGCGGCGGGGATACAAGCGCACGCAACGTAGTAACTAAGTGAGAAGATCGCGTTCGAGAAGATGATGATTCCAGCTTCTTTCTGGAACATGATAACAAGCGTCTTGCTGGGATTGGGGAAGCCAAGCTTGGATCTCGCCCGCGACGTCTGGCTTGTATATTGTGTCTTCCCTTTCGTGGTTTGATACCAGCTGAGGACGGTCTGGTTCCATCTCTGGGGAGAGATCGAACCGTTTCCAACGATTTTGCGAGCAGTCTCGGGGAAGAAGAGCAGCATTTGGATAACAAACGTCCCGCCGAAGATAGTGAGAAACCAGAAAATTGCTCTCCAGCCTAGATACTGTGTCAGGAGACCGCCAATGATAGGGCCAACAGAAGGACCCAGCACCGTGCCGCCTGTCATCAGGCCCATATAGGAGCCTCGCTCTGCGGCCGTCGCGATGTCTGATATCACCCCTACAGAAAGTGCCATTGCAGGGCCAATGCCGGCGCTTTGCAAGCACCGAAGCACAAAGAGGGCCGCATAGTTGGACTGTAGGGCAAGGCCGATGCTGGCTGCCATGTATAGGAGAAAACACACGGCATAGGCCGGTCGTCTACCGAATCTGTCCGCAAAATCCCCTAGAAACATTGGCGACAGCCCTTGAAAGATCTTGTCATCGTCAGTCACGATCCGAGCTAGAAAGCGAGGCTATCGTACCAAGTAGCATGTCACAGTCAGGTTGATCAACTTGTTGGAGACCTTCAGATCATGGGCTAGACTGTTTAAGGCCGGGAAGTAGACCTGGCCCGGTAGAAAAGAGATGAAGCCGGCGCATGAGGCGCAGAAGACGATGTACCATTTCTGGTGCTTGGTAAACACGGAGTGCACCGGCTGCTCTTCTGGACGAGAGGGGGCTGTATCTAGTCGCTGCAGACTTGCCTCTGGATCCTTAGTCTCGGAAGACATCTTGTCGTTATAGATTCAAGGGTTCAACGAGGAGGCTTGTATTCTGTCCGCAAAGGGAGGCTTTCAGAGAGCTCTCCGATCATCACCTGATTATCTTCCTGCAAGGGCGTCCTTCGAGACCATCACAATATTCCCGACTAGTCTGCCGTCTGTGGACATGTACGCAAGGCTCCAGTAGATCCTCCCAGCTTACCCACTGGGTGCAGCCATCGGTGTGCTACGCTGGGATGTGATGTACGATGTACGTCTCTCCTATCGAAGTCTTGGGCGATATCGCAATTGATGCGCCTACGGCTGTGCGAGGCCTCTAAGTAATTACTTGTTCGAACAAGAATGGTGAATGTGGACATCTGGTTGAACAAAAGCCTTCAGCACATGCGCTAGATGCTAGCCTACCTCGATCTGCTACCAACATGGGGAGCTGGCTGACACAATAGTCTTTCCATCCGACATGCTGTAGCAAGCGCAAAAAGTCTGCAAACAGGGGATGGGCTTGCTGGTCACTGATATGCTTGTCTTGATAAGTACGTGCAGCGTGCAGCGTGCTGCAGCCTCCTGCATCCTTACCCAGCGCCACCAGCGCCACTATCGATTCGACATCAGATTACATGCCAAGATCAGCACAGCAAGTGGGAATAGATCAACATCGTCAACAAATGGTACATGTAATTTTTGTTCCGTGTTGTTGGTTCTTTGGTAACCTGACACAGTATATGCATCCCTTCCATCCCCCTTGGAAGGCGAAGCTAGGGGCGAGTGTGCTCCATCAAGTAAAAGTGACAAATAGCAATAATCTTCAATCTTCCTCTGTCCCGGCTGAGCGGATCGCTTTCAATTGACCTCCAGGTACGGGTTACAACGATCAAAATGACTGTCAGCGTGGAGAGCCCGGACCAACATGACTCTGGCATCATAACACTCGCTGCTTACCAGCAGTCCGAGGCGCCTGCGGTCATCATCCCGGCTACTGATTCCTCAGAGTCCCAGGAGATCTCCTACAAAGAATTGCACCATGCTGTTTGTCGCCTCCGGCAAGAGCTGGGTCAACTTGGCCTGGACATTCACAGCCGGCTAGCCTTGGCTCTCCCCAATGGGATCGAATTCGTCGTGTGTTTTTTCGCTGGTGCCGCCCAGGGAGCTCCGGTAGCCCCAATCAACCCAGCATACAAGCCCCAGGAGGCCCAGGCTCTCCTCGAACGCATCAAGCCAAAGATGCTCCTGGCATCTCCGCAAAGCGCGGCGGCCTGGGCAGGCGCAGACATGGGTGTACCTGTCGCGAGTTGCTCTTGGGATGCCAAAGCCCGGTGTATTCGCCTCGAGCTACCGGAAAGCATGCCTCATCCTCGACCGGTCCATCTATGTCAAGTGTCTCCGGATGACGATGCATTGATGCTCTTCACCAGCGGGACAACCGGCACGCCCAAAGGCGTCATGCTGACCCATCGCAATCTCCTGGTCGCGGTGCAGATTATCGTGCGCGCCCAAGGCCTGTCGCCAACCGACCGGTGTGCGATAGTGACACCTCTTTTCCACGTCGCTGGCGTCGGGATGTTGTTGCTATCGACTCTCCTTTCTGGTGGAGCGGCAGTCATCCCGTCCTCTGTCTCCGGAGCCTTCTGGTCACAGCTTCGGGAGCACGCGGTGACCTGGTATCACGGGGTACCGACGCTGCATCGGCTGCTGCTCACGTTCCCACGACCGTCGGACCTGGGACGGTTGCGGTTTGTCTCGTCTGGCGGCAGCTCTCTGGCCGAGGACACCCTGCAGCGTCTGGAAGCCGAACTGGGGCGTCCGGTGCTCGAACGGTACGGGATGACAGAGACCGCGCCCGGCATCTTCTGCAACAAGATCGATCAGTCTCGCCGGTCCTCGTGCTACCCCGTGGCGCCGGAAATCACTGTTCGCATTCTGCATTCGAGCGGCGAAGGGAAACGCTCGCTGACGGATCGTATTGGAGTCAGCGGAGAGATTTGCGTGAAGGGAGAGAATGTGATGAGCGGGTACCTGGACAATGCTGCTGCCAATGCGGATTCCTTTGTGGACGGCTTCTTCCGGACGGGCGATCTGGGGCTGATAGAGCCCGATGGGTACTTGCGCATCGTCGGCCGCCTCAAGGAGATTATCAACAAGGGAGGCGAGAAGATCGATCCCACTGAGGTCGAGCATATCCTTCTCAAGCATGAATCGATTCGCGACGTGGCCTGCTTTCGCGTAGCAGACGAACTGTATGGGGAAGATATTGGTAGGTTCCCTGCAGTATATGAAGTATATGATAAATATTGCATGCTAATCAGGCCTGATGCAGGCGTTGCAATCGTTCTACACGAAGGACGCGAACTCAAAGCACTGCAAGTGAAGAAGTACGTGCGAGATAATGCCGTCGGCTTCAAAGTCCCTAAGAAGGTGCGTGTCTTTCCAGACTGGCTGGACGGTGTTAATCGGCTTGCAGGTAGTCTTTCTGGATGCCATTCCGTGCAACCAGACCGGGAAATACCAGCGGGTCTTGCTTTCACAGCAATATGGAGTATAGGGGTCAGCACATAGTGTCCATGTGGGGTTGTCGATTCAGTGTACTGGCTCTCAACATGTAGGCAACGTCTTTTCTATGTTGGGGTGACAGTTGGTGCTCTTTTTTCATTTAAACTAGAAGCTATAGGATCGGAATGCCATTTCCTACTACCCTTTCTCAGACTCTTTAGAAAGTATTATGTTGGGACCTTCCGCGCTGCATTAACAAAATCAAACTCCTTTTGGGTACCGTAGCCTGACATGTTATAAGTAGCCCAGTTGGCGTAGTGACAGGTGCATACACTAAAGCAGAATGCAGTGATCTCGAGACCAATGCACATGTATCCTTTTGATTCATATATTGTGGGCTTCCATCGAGGAGCAACATCTGCTTGACCACTGTCTCGGTTTTCCGGTATTTACACCCCTCACCTTGAGATAATATACGGTAGCTATGGACCGTGCTCATTTGGGACATCAAACCACTCCGTGTCGTTGTGGGACGGTTTATTTAGATCACAAGATATATGCAGCCTGCACTACGTCAAACGCATGGATCCTCAGGGGCCATGGCAGATGGAGCCAAGGCATTCTGCGTAGATAGATGGCAAGACGCAGAATGCATCGGAACTGCTCCGGTAAAGACATCAAGGGCCCTAGAGAAGTAAGACAACTCCACTGTGTTTCGGCAGACACGGCGCCATTCCCGACGCCACTTTAGCCGTTTACCCACATCCTAGACGGCCCAATATCGTCTGTATTGTTGTCGAAGAACCTGGCGCATGGAGGATGTCTTCTATTGGTGGTAAATTGGACGAGACCCTGCTTGTTCCAGGGACCTGTTAATTTGCCTCGCGTATATGAATGCAGATCTTCACCTCTACGATCGTGACGGACGAGGTTTCACCATGCTCATGCCAAGCAACCTTTGATAGCAGCATATCAGACTTGCTCCGCCATGTCCGCGCTTGGCGTGTCAAGAGCAGAACGGCCTTCTGCACAAGGAAGGCCGGGCGTTTCATCTACGAGACGAGAAACGGACCATGGCTCCGTTCTGAACAGAGATAGGGAAGGGAGTGCACCCAGTACTGCATACAGTATAAGACCTCTCCTCGCCCCGTCTCCCTATTCCTCAGAGCCAGTCCTCATTCATCCTCAAGATGGCTCCCACTCGACTCGCCCTTTGGGCCCTGGCGGCCCTCCCCTCGGCGCTGGCCCATTACAACTTCGAGGCCTTGATCGTGAACGACGAGGTCACCGGCCCGTACGAATTCGTCCGCCGCACGACCAACGCCAACAGCCCCATCACGGACCCAACCTCTACGGACATGGTCTGCAACCAGGGCGGCCTGGACGCCGACATCATGGCCGCAACCAAGACGCGCACCGTCAGCCCCGGCGACATCGTCGGCTTCGACATCAACTCCGAGCTCGGCCACCCGGGCCCGGCGGCCGTCTACATGAGCAAAGCCCCCGACGGCACCACCGCCGCCGAGTACAAGGGCGACGGCGACTGGTTCAAGGTCTACGACCTAACCACGTCATATATCAGTCCTGACGATGGCCTGCACTGGGCCACCTTCCCCAACTCCGCGGGCATTCACAACTTCACCTTCCAGCTGCCTGAGCAGCTGCCCCCGGGCGACTATCTCATGCGCGGCGAGCATATCGGCCTGCATGGTGCGAGCGAGTTCGGCGGTGCCCAACATTATATGGGCTGTGCGCAGCTCACGGTTACGGGGTCGGGCTCGGGCAGCCCGTCGCCTCTGGTCAAGATCCCCGGCGTCTACACGGGCAAGGAGCCGGGTCTCCTTATCAATATCTACTGGCCCCCGCCACAGAACTATACCATTCCTGGGCCCGCGAGCTGGCCCAACGCCTGCGAGGACCACACGGCCAATCTGCTTGGCCAGGCTAGCGACGGGGACTGTTCACCCAGCACGAATTCCACTGCCTAGATGATTGGAGGGAACACTGAAGAGATTAGGGGAAGGGGATGACTCTCTGCTGAATTGAAGATTGCCGTTAGGTTCAAGCATGTGTTGTGTTGTATCTAAATGCATCAATCACTGAACAAATTGTACAAGCGCACAACTTAGCGTCAAGAACTCACCCGTTCCAGCCTTGAAAATATTGGACGATGCGAACCTATACGAAGGCCAAGCGACTAGCTTCGAGATAGTTGATGGTGGTCTACAGGCCAAGGCTCGTATTCGCCCATAAAAAGACACCCAGCTCCCGCACACAGCTGTTGCAATGAAATCCGCCAAAGCGAAATAATAGACTGCAATGCGTTCAGCACTCGCACTTTGGTATCTACTTGCCCTCGTTCCTCGGGTGTTTGGTGAGGAAGATTTGAACTACGACCCGGCATCGAATTTCCGTCCTCGCAACATCACAGACCTGGACTACTGGTATTACCCTTGGAAGGGCTCGTACGTTTTCTACGCCCCTAAAAAAAAGGAAGAGCACTAAGGGTGTTCCAGATATTACAATGGCAGCGCCATATTCACCGTTTCCGACCTGGTGGTCCGCACCGACAGATCCCAGTACGAGGATACAAAACTCTGCCCTCAACTAGAGAACAAAACCTACACTTTCTCATGGCCGGCCATTCTCGCCATCACTCAGACAGATGGCGAGGAGGAGCGGCCGAAAAACACCAACCCAGTGGATATCCTCCTGGTGACGTCTTACTCGAACTTCACGAAGTACTTCACCAACTACATGCATACGAGCGAGAACATGGCGTCGCTGGATAGTCCGTGGAAGTTTGAGTCTATCGAAGCATCGTACGCTCCCAACTAACCAATGGTCTTTCCTTTCGCTAACTTCCTGCTCCAGCCGTTACTACTACCCCTCAGACACAGAGCCCAAGTTCAACCTAACAGTCTCGGGCGGCAGCGACACACCCTTCAGAATAACAGGCAGCTCAAATCTCGAGCAGAACCCCCTCCCCTCGCTCTCCATGAACATGAGCTCCTGCAGCCAGATCGAGGCATGGTGGGGTCTTAGCCCTGTTTCCTCCGGGGCGTCGTGGGCCGACGAGGATGATATCAATCTCCTAGGCCTCATCGATCCAGCCCTCACGCTCACATTTGACCAGCACTCGGCTGGCCTTTTGATTCGGACGTCAGCCGTCATGAATACGTTGGGCGGAGAGCCTGGCGAGGATGACACGCCTGCGCTCGCTGGAAAGATGACAGTTGAGTTTTTGGGGCGTGGCGATGCGGCGCGCTCGGACGTGCTGAATGGGGGAGATGAGCCGTCGTGGACGCCGACGGTAGGATTTGGGAATAATTCAATGAATTTGGATTATAAGTCGGGGGCTGGTTCTGTTAGAGTATGGGGGTTGCTCTGGGTGGGAGTGGCTATTGCGTGTGTTCTGTATCTATAGACTCTGGGTGACAGTCATGATATTTAACCCTTACTTTGCTATTTTATATACTGGTTTGTTCGTACTATGACGAACCAGTAGATGAAGAAAGCCAATAGATTGGCCCTGGTGATGCCCGCGTTGGCCGGAAGACGATTCGGAAAGTTATCCTATCAAAGATGCACCGTAGCAGCACAGCCATCAGCATCCGTCATAGTAGAGATTTGTCGCGAAGAAGATCACTGCCGTGGTACCGCGGATGAAAACGAAGAACCTGGCTCCTCGGGGCCCTCCAGACAAGTGCGCTATGACGGTGAACTCGACATGATATCGCGTCGCATCGCGCGAATTGAGAACGACGACGATGGACAGGATGATGGAGGCGACGGCCGACACAATGAGAGTGTGCCACCACCTCTATGCCCGTCAGTATGTACTCTGGAGTCTTACTTAGAAGTGCTTCTCGAACGTACAAGTCCGGTAGCGGCAAGAGATTCAGCCGGATTATAGCTCGTCGGCGAAAAAGACGTTGTCAGGTAATATGAAGAAGTGAACCCATCCCCATGATCGTCGATCCAGTCGCATCAGAATGATTCTGAGAAATGTCTCCAGCAACAACATACCAGGTTCGGTAGAAAGAAGGTCCTCGTTGTATTCACCCTTGTTCTCGCCATCAATGGTCTTGAGAACAGCCAAGCCCTTCGGGAGGAGAAGGAGTCTGTCACTCGTGTAGCCCAAGTCACAATTCTCCGAACGACCTTCACAAGTGATGAGACACGGCAGCCGAGGTTTATGCCAGAGAAAGATGTAGGGGCTTGGTCAACTTGAAATACCCATGTTATACAGCTGCCAATACACCACCCCGTCTTAAAATGGGATTTGGTGGCATAACTGTCCCCCGGGCTACTGATAAGCTCTTGATCTTCATATCTACTGATATGCAAAATGAGATAGGTGTATATACATATGTGTTTTGACTACAGGGTTATGATATCTTCTACAGAGTGAGTCCATAACATGATGCTGATGGACGCAGACTCCTTAGGTATATGACTCAATACTCACGCCACCACATACCATACAACTACATGAAGACCCTCTGAGCAGAGTCATTAGTGAAATCCGGGGACTCCACGATAGCAGTGGAGCTGATATGCTCGGCTGGAATCCTTCAATGGAGGCTCCAAGAAGACACGAAGTGTGATGAAAGATAATAGATAATGATAAAATCTAGGTGAAGACTCTAGTATGATGACGAAGATATATATGTCTGTGTGCTTGATTGATTGAGAATACAAAAGGAATGTTGGCCTAGGAATATATATTGAAGTGCTCATTCCAACATACCCATCTGAGGAACCAACTACCTGCGCGCAAGATCTCTCCGCACTCTCGAACTAAACATCCCAGACATCAACGCATGAAACTCACTACCCTCCGCCCTCTTATTTACAATATTCAGGACCATTTGGATCGAAAGGATGCCATATCAACCACCCCATAACTCTCTCTGTTTGTGATCCCCGACCCTGCATCGATACTCTTTATGTGAACTTGTTCCTCTGGTGCCCTAACAGCATCAGACCGCTCCATCGTACCACTCGGCTTGGCCGGTCTGCCCGCATTGGCCTTGTTGGTCTCACCAAGCACATCAGGGCTAAGATTGCACTTCTTCTCAAAGGCCCGGGACAGTTGGTTCACTGATTTTTCGGCAGAGACACAACAATGACTGGCCTCCCCCGTGTACGGCAAGTCATACTCCGGGAAGATTCGAACTCTTTGCTTTAACCAATCGTCCACATAGAAGGCTTTGCCACATCCTTTGCCCAAAGGTGCGGCACACCTCAACACTGCGCGACCCTTCACCGTATACATGTCATGAACGTAGGCCCTATTCGGGTCCTGTACTGCACGGCAGTCAGCCCCAGGGCAAACCAGAACATGACAAGAACAAAGACACATATTGAGGCGGCTGATCAAACAACACGAGAAGAATCCACAAGCGGAGAGCCCGCTTTATATGTCTTCATCTTCATTAATCGCCGTACGTGGCATTGCATATACTTACATATTACTATCCCTAAAGGGGAATATATCTCCGTCTTATGACCTCCCACCTGCCTAAACAGGCAGGCAGGAGCGTCTCAGCCCTCAAGACTGGCTAGTTTCCTTATTAGGAAGGTGGCAGAACTTCCGGCTGACGCTTAGAAGTCCCCCGAAACTCCGGGGAAGAGAAGGGTCGTCTACACATTCCTTGTTTACTACGCCTTTGGTTGGACTTCCTGAAGGTGCAATAGCTCGCGTGTTTTCGAAGCACACCTATTACTAAGAGATTCTTTGTCCAACTACATGCATTGTGACACTCTGAGTATGCGCAATTCACATCCTTGACCTTAGCCCTATTGCCACGTCCATGGCTGCAATCAACCCGCCGAGCGGAGCTGGTTTGAATGGACAAAAGAGTAAGCGTGAAGGAGGTAGAAGTGCTGTAGTATGTGAATCTTCTCCTGTTTGGTGACTGAAAACTGCTCCTGTTAATATGTGCCTCCACCAAAAGATGTCCTCTTTACCCGGCTTTGTATGAATTCGCTTCTTCCATACCTCTTATATATACCTCCTCCCTCTTACCTGGATCTCCTCCCTCTTCCTCTCCCTCTTCCATTCCTTTTCAGGACCATTACACTGCCAAAAAGTGTCAAGGCACCTAGTGGTACGTAAAGTGTGCTTCGTATTAGGGCAAGACATATCAGACACTTGTCTTTCCATGGGTCAATCATTGCTGGCGTAGACTAGCCTTCTGCTACCAGGCGCGTTCCGTCATCAGAAGTCTGCTTTGTCATTTAGGGTCACAACTACTGACTGATCCACTCAAGTATTCGCTGGAGGACGACAGCTGGGAGGCAAAAGCTTGCCAGAACTTCATCAAGGTGTCCAGGGCGCTACTTCGTTGTGACGCGCCGGAGCTGGCCCTGACTGCCTACGCGGAACTCGGGGTTGGCCATGGAGCCAGTGGCTCCGGATTTGTGCAACTTGAATTCGAAGTGAGTGTCTTGCTTATATTATTTGTCGCAGCGGTTAGTTACGCTAACTTATTATGTCACCCTGTTCAAGAAAACCCAACTCCAGGATTGCCTGAGGGAGATATTCTACGTCGGATTTGCCCAGCTCATCTCATGGACTTGCCCGTGAACAGGAACGCTTGTCAGGGCGTTAGATAAAACCACCGTTGGTCTGCAAGGTCCTCGCGATCAAGGCAACAATTCATCGTACCTCTTTCAGTGATCGTCTGCCATCCGGGCACGCGGTACGAATGTGTCGCGCGGGAGCTGTTCGCCATGTGGCATGTCATTGAACAGCCAAATTTCACGGAGATTGTGTCGATTGGGATCTTTCGCAGCATGGGATACTCCAACTTGGTGATTCGAATCCCACGTCCGCGTCGGCGATCCGCGGAATACGAGAAATGATGTTTGCGATCATCTGTGAATTCTGCGCAAAGACATTCAGCGACGCAAAAGCAAGGTCTGATCGGCCGAGACGCGCGGCGGCGGTCATCGAGCCGCCCTGGTACTGTTATGCGTGAGCTGTGCACAGCAAGACAGGGGAAAGGTGGGCGATGTACCATGACCTTGAAGCCCTGCTCAATGGCGATGCGGCGCGCTCGGATGTTGTCAATGAGGCAGATAAGCCGTCGGGGACGTCGACGGTAGGATTTAGTAATAATTCAATGTGTTTGGATTATCGGTTGGGGGCTGGTTCTGTTAGAATATTGAGGTTGGAATGGGGGAGTGGCTGTTGTGTAGTATGTTCTGTAAGTACAGAGCGCTACATGATATGATATAACAGGATACAAGCAAATCAGCTTCACCAGTCTCCCATAGTCGTCAAAACCCTACATTTGATAGCTTTCTTCTACGCATACGCAGCTCGTAAGATGGTCATCTCATCGTGCTGCATACTAGCCGGCAGCTTGATGCCTCCATCCTCCTTCGCGGGCACAAAACCGATAGGCATTGCCAATGCTGGATATTATCTTTAGTACGCTCTCTACTTCTATCTATAAATCTATTGTGCATGTCTTGGAAGTCTGCAGGTCTGTAAACGTTTATTAAGTTCTTCGAGCTTGTACTCTATGTCTCTATGGCTTGGGCTGTGCAGGCATAAACAACATTTAGCAAGGCAGTGGTTCATCAAGCTCCCATAAAGCCATCAACCACTGTAGGAAATTCATCGACCATCTTCACGAATCCCGCAACGCCGAAGTTGTTGACTTCCTCTTCTCTGGAAGAAAGTAGCGGCAGCGAAGGCTGTTTCGTATCTCGTTTTGGGCGTAGGTTGTTTGTCTAATCCAGAACTCCACTAGTTCATATCACCTTCCGAATTCTCTTCCCGAGCAACAGCATCAAAGTAAGTCAGCGTCTCAAATTGACGAAGGCTTTCAACCTCGAGACCTGTACCCACTCGGGGCACAGGCCATGTGCCTGGCTGATTTCGATTACCCGCACGCTATTCGAGAATCTCAGCATGGCGGTGAATGCTTCAACCACATCATTGAAGGCATCACTGCTGTCATCGAACGCACAGCCTTCCCAGCGAAAGACCACTGGTGCCGGATAGGAAGGATCGTACTCCTCGTAGTAAACAAAGGTTTGATCGAGTTCAGGCCTGTACTTTGCGTAGTACAGGCCACGAGTTGCGCTTCGATAGACGACCACATTACGGGTCACCCAATGGTCGAGCCGGACGCATGTCTGGCTCAAAGACATGCGGTCTTCAAAGGAGAACAGATGAAGAAGCTTCTCCCGGAATTCGGGTACGTCCATATCAAAGAGGATGCTTTCCAACCCGACCTTTCTCTTCTATAGCGCATGGACATCATGACAGGAGGAAGCATAGTGCTTTTGCTAAACAGGCTGCTGGGTCGCCATCGATGGCAATGCAGAAGGCCTTATGCCTGGAGGGTTTCCAGGTACAGGTTGACCTGGCAATGCTAGTTAGAGCAGTTCCTATGCCACGTTTCTTCTGGCTCAGCCGATGGTCAGGAGAAGCAATACCCGCACCTCCTGTTGCTGTTTTCGAACCACCAAGTTGCGAAAAGCGCCGATCTTGCTCTTATTTCCATCTACCTGAAACGAATGTGTCAGCAAGGCCATGAAGACAGGCTAAGGCGACTCACTCGGCATGATGGTCCGTATTATCGTCATGATTCTGGCGCACAAAATCACGACGCATGGGGAAACTGGGCACTATTCCATGCTATGGACAAGCTGAGCAGGCTTGAAGGTGATGGGTATGGCAGTGGAAGACCGATAAAGAGTGGTACTGAAGGAGGGGAGGGGAGGAAGAGAAAAGGTAGTAGCAGGCAATCAGGACGGGGCGAGGAGTTTTATACCCTCCCTCCAAGAGAGTATGTGAATGGAACTGGAGAGATTACATGACAGTTGCGCCCAATGAATCGATACATCGAGTGAATCAACAGCTCCGTCTCTTGGGCAGGCATCTGGAAGTGACCTTAATGTTCAATCACCATGACCTGCCCTGAGTGGTTCCATGGGTCCAGCTTGATAGTTGAGTGATGGGGGACTTGAATCAATTGGAGAGTGAGGAAGTGCTCGGTGGTGAAGGCCATGATGGCTCTATTAATAACGTGACGGGCTGCCTTCCCAATGTAATTATTCACCTCAGGCTCTCAGAGAGTCTTTTATTGTTAGATACATTGCAAGATTTAATAATACTAGTCACTGACTGTCCCAATGGATGTCAATTACATAGAGAAGAAAAAAAGTAACAAGGGAAGCACCGCATTCCGTGAGGAAGCTGGGTAGGGAAAGCACAATAATGGAACAGGGGAAGCAACTAAGCTATTCGTCAAATCCAAAGTCAAGTCCCAGCTCTGTGAGAGATTCCACTTCTTCGCCGGCGCAATAGATGGTGATAGCGGTGTCGACAGCCTTGATGGCAATTCTGGTACATAGGTTGTTAACTGCCTCAGTGTGCAGCAGCAATCTACTCAACATGAGATTGCGGATTATCGCTATTGGCACGCAAAACATCAACGGTCTACTACGGCGACGCTGAATTTCAGCAGGCTAGACTTGACGCACTTAGCTTTTCTTCTTTCAAGCAGGCAGAGAGCGCCTCTAGGAAATGGAAGCCAAGTTGGATGAACTGACACCCAGCTTCAAGCACACGCCGCTCATTCCATGTGACACTGATAGTCTAAGATACTCGTAGAAAGAAGTCGAGTCGGGAATACCTATCATCCTCAGGCAGGACTTTTTTGCCACAGTCCCCTGGATCGGAAGTTAGACTGCGCACTACTGCAAAGGAAGAAATGTAACAATGTGCTACAAGCGGGTCATCATCTATTCTACATATTCAGCATCCACCACGTTCTGGCCAGATGCCAGACTTCTAGAAGAGCATGTGCAGTAGTCCAAAGATCCTATTCGCTCAATTGTAATAGTGAGCCGTATATATCTCCCGCTAGACGCAACAGTGGGCGAACCAGCGGGAGAGATTTGAAGCCCTTGGCAAGCCACAAGCCACCAAACGCCCGCAAGAAAACCAACCCATCGCGCAGCTCGAGTAAGCAACCACTAAGCATCATCAAATTCAGCATGCTGTTGATACTGGAGTCCACATTGGCGGACGACACATCGGCCATTTCCAGCTTTCACAGCGAACCTCGCGTGCGATGCCCACGCTAACTCCCATGCGAGCACGCCCCCAAGAGGAATAAGCAACTTCAGCCGTCTGGCCAAGGGCTTGGAGAAATCTTAGGCGAGCTTGTCTGTCTTGGGAGTGAATTTCTCGAAGGCGTCTAGCATCCTTCGCCACTGGACCGTGGATACGAACTGCGTGGGATTCAGGACGGAGCATCATGTCAAAAGCCGTGGTTTCGATTCGCTGCCATCATCCTCTAGTCTAGGGGCCTTGCGACCTGAACCTACGCCTGGACGCCCCGATGGTCTATATAAGGGGCATGCTGCCATCAGGATGAAACATCCCTCCGTTGTCAGCCCAGCCCATACCTTCTCTTGATATCCGCAATGGCTACTCAGGACAGCACCACCGTCGCCGCCTGGTCCGACAGCCACGAGGCTGCCACCATGGAAGATGCCCGTGAGCGTCGTCGTCGGGCTCTGGCGGAGATTGACAACGCCAAGTTCGGCTGGCACCATGTGCGTGCGGTCATCGTTGCTGGCGTGGGTTTCTTCACCGATTCGTATGATATCTTCGCCATCAACCTGGCCTCGAGCATGCTCGGGGTAGTCTTCTGGCAGCATGCCAAGGGCAAGATTCCTTCAACAGCGGATACTGCCATCAAGGTGTCCACGTCGGGGGGTACGGTGATCGGACAGCTCTTTTTCGGCTGGCTTGCGGATCGCATTGGTCGCAAGCGCATGTATGGAATCGAACTTATGATTATCATCATGGCTACGCTTGCGCAGGCGCTGTCCTCGGACTCGCGGGCTATCTCTATTGTCGGTATTCTTATCTTTTGGCGTGTGATTATGGGTATTGGTATTGGTGGTGACTATCCTCTGTCTTCTATCATCACTTCTGAGTATGTTCATCCCTCTTCTATTATCCCATTAGACAGGTACTTACGCTCTCTGTCAGGTTCGCTACGACAAAGTGGAGAGGCGCAATGATGGGCTCCGTCTTTGCCATGCAGGGCTTTGGTCAGTTCGGAGCGGCCATCATTGCGCTGATCGTGACGGCCGGTTTCAAGGAATCCCTCGAGACTGCTAGTTCTGTGGGCAACTGTTCCGGCGTCTGTCAGCTCGCTGTCGACAAGATGTGGCGGGTGGTCATTGGCTTTGGCGCTGTTCCTGCCTGCATTGCCCTCTACTACCGTCTCACAATCCCTGAAACCCCCCGGTACACCTTCGATGTGGCGCGCGATATCGTCAAGGCCGATGAAGATGTCCGGGCCTACATTGCCGGCAAGCACGAAGGCCACCCCGACGAGATGCGCCGCCAGCACGTCCTCCAGAGCCACACCGGCGACAGGCCCAAGGCGAGCTGGGCGGACTTCTGGCGCCACTACTCGCAGTGGAAGAATGGCAAGGTTCTGCTGGGTACTGCTGGGTCTTGGTTCTTTCTTGATGTTGGTACGTACAGCGCGCCTTGCTTATGAAGAACCATACTAACAAGACAGCCTTCTACGGTCTCGGTCTGAACAACTCCATCATCCTCAGCGCAATCGGCTGGAGCGGCGGCAAGAACGTCTACGAGGTGTTCTACAAGAACGCCGTGGGCAACCTCATCCTCATCTGCGCTGGTGCGATCCCCGGCTACTGGGTGACGGTGGCTACAGTCGATACAATTGGCCGTAAGCCGATCCAACTGGCAGGGTTTATTATCCTCACCATCCTGTTCATTATTATCGGCTTTGCCTACGAGCCTCTGAAGAATTCCAACAACGGCCTGCTCGGTCTCTATGTCATTGCACAGTTCTTCTTCAACTTCGGGCCCAACGCGACGACCTTTATGGTCCCGGGCGAGTGCTTCCCGACGCGGTATCGGTCGACCTCGCACGGAATGTCCGCGGCGTCAGGCAAGGTGGGCGCCATCATTGCGCAGTGTGTGTTCGGACCGTTGGTGCACAAGGGCTCCAAAGACTCGTCGAAGTCGCCGTGGCTCAACCACGTCATGCAGATCTTTGCGCTCTTCATGCTGTGCGGCTGCTTTACCACGCTGCTGATTCCGGAGACGAAGCGCAAGACTTTGGAGGAGCTGTCTGGGGAGGAGTCGGACGCTGATACGCTGGTGACCCCGTCTCCGATGATCATGGCAAAGCAGGAGAGTCCGGTCTGAGGGGCTGAAGCTGGAGAAGCGTAGTAGGGCTCGTATGAGCAGTTCGTTATGTATAGCTAGCTACTTAATCTGTACTGTACACTTTGCATCCATACTCCAGTATACAGGCACACGAGAAGAGACGGACCATGATAGTTGGCATGTCTAGTGACTCTAGTCTCGCTTGTCCACGGTCTTAATTCATTCCACGCTAGAGGTGGCGTTCTCAATCCAGTCCTTAAATACCCCCATCCCCCAGCTCCAGCTGCTTTCCTCTCCCTCACTCCTTCACTCCCACCCGACATCCAAAGCACAATGTCTACAACTACCATGACAACCACAAGACCCCCATCCCAAGGGGAACCGGCTACAACCCTCCCCGCTCTCCAAACCTACACCACCACATCCCCAGACGACCTCATCGACGCCCTCCGCCTAATCGCCGACTCCGTCGCACAGCAGCGCCAGGCCGCCGCACGACACATCATCTTCCACCCACTCTGGGCCTCAGCCATGGTCGCCATGATGGCAATCGTCTATCGGCTTCTCTATCGCGAACCATCGGACCTCCCGCTCGTCGGTACGACCTGCGCCGGGTGCGTGATGGCCGGGCTGCTGGTCGTCCGGGCCTGTACGGAGGGGTATATCGAGGAGGCGGAGAGGGTTGGGAAATGGGAGTGGCTGTTCCCTGGTTCTGAGCCTGGTGTCCATGGGCGTCTGGACAGTGGCGTTGAGGGGAAAGATGGGGATAGCGCGGAGGAGCAAGTGGTTCTGGTAACAAAGTTCGGGGAAAGGATTATTGGGACAGTGGTGCTGCGTGCTGCCGCTGCTGGGCCTGCTGGGAAGGCCAAAGGGGTGATTCGGGCATGGACCGTCGAGAGACGGTATCGCGGGAAGGGGGTGGGTGTCGGACTGCTGGAGGAAGCGGTGACTGTGTGTAAGAAGAAGCGATGGGAGGGCCCTGAGTTTGATGAGAAGCATGCGAATTCGAGGAGGGTGTTGCCTGCATTCTTTCACGAGGTTGAGGAGAGGGAGCGGTGGGCGAAGGAGCTGTTGAAGAGAGTGTTGAGGCATTGAGGGTCAGATACCTTGTTGCCGTCTGTGATGTATCTAGGCTCCTGGTAGAAATGGCGTGCCATGTGTGTACTTTAGTAAAACAAAGAATGACTCGCACGTGTACAATTGAACATGCTGATTCCATAGCTAGCAAGTACACCTGCTTATATGTACGGCAAGCTAAGTATATGACCAACATCTCTAAAGCACCAACGCATCTTCCATGAACCAAGAAAGCAAGAGAACAGCATTGATCAAGGCCCAAGAAATTACATCCCATGCCTATTTTGATAAGCCGTAATCCTTTCTCTAGGTGTTCTTCCTCGCCGTTGAGATATAGAAGACCGTTTGGAGACATAGGCACCAGAAAACCCTGTCGTCAAAAGTAGGACATCTCCGGAGCAAATTGAGACTTCCCCATGCTGAATAAACGTTCATGGGCTGAAAAAAAAAATGCGAGTCGGCTGGCATTGGGCTCTGTGATAGAAAAGACAATTACAGGTCTGATATGCTGTTTCAGTGTTTGATATAGAGGATATAGCACAAACATGGCCTGACATCTTAACATAGGAACACTAATGAAAAAATAAACGATATGATGAAGCAAGAGGTGAGAAGACAAAAGAAAAGAAAAGAGAGTTATCTGCCTGGACGAGTACTATCAGACCTCAGGTGTAATCACATCACTAACATACTCCAAGCATCAGCACTTCCAGTAAATAGAAGCATTCCCAGTAGCCTGTCCTGTGCCTCTGCCTGTAAACCTGACCGTGGCATTCCCACTCGCGCTTGCAGAGCCACCACCGTTGACATAGACATCGGCATTTCCGCTGGCCCAGACCGTGCTATCGCCGTGGACAATCACATCGCTATTCCCGGAGGCGACGACATAACCGCCGCCGTGGATAATCGCATCGGCGTTACCACTTACTGTCACGTAGCCTCCGCAAACCACGGCCGACCTGTTCCCGCCGATATGCGTTTCTCCCAGGTGTCCTACATTCTTGTCCTTCTTTGCGGTCTCTTTGGTCTTCCTTTCCTCCCTCTTCTTTTCCTCCTTCTTCTTTTCCTCCTTTTTCTTTTCCTCTTTACGCACCGTGAGGTCTTGCTTCACCACCGCCGTCGATGGATAGATCTGCACCAACGCCTGCTTGTCACCGTCAGAGAGCACATAATTCTCAGGGACCTCCGTCCCCATGCTCTGCGTGTCTCCCTTCGCGATAGGGTAGTGCATAATCGATTTCGGATCGTACGGCCGATCCCACTCGGCGTTGAGGGCGCTGGTGGTAGAAGCGGCGTAGTTGCGGTGCGCCGCGTCATATTCCAATTGATACCGTTCCATCAGACGGCTGTAGTTCCACCTGAGCTTGCGTTGCGGGTGTTTTTGCTCGTGGATCAAGCCCAATGCGTGCCCGAACTCGTGAAGCACGTCGCCTTGCACCTTCTTCCGAGCATCGTCTCCCGTCAGCCATCTAGGGTGCATATTCAGCCACATGGTGGGCTCCCCTGGGTGGTTCTCGGCCTGACGGCCGATATAGGCTTTGGACTCGTCTGCGAATGAAATCCGAATGTCCGAAGGGCTTGTGTCCCATTCGGATAGGAATTTGAAGCGGATGCGCATGGGGATCGAATGATAATGCTTTTTGACCAGGGATTTGACTGTTCTCTGGTAGTCTTCGGTCCCGTTCAAGAAACGGACGTTGAGGACATGCTTGTTAGGTGGCCAGAAATCGGCCGGTGGTCCCGCGCCCATCTTAGCTGGTTGGGGTTGTCGTCGAGTTCAAGACAGATAGGAAATTCTCTCTTTGAAAAGGCGAGCCGCCAAAAAGTCTGACGGGACAGGAACGTCTCCCGTCACAGACTAAGAATATATCGAAAGAAGCAAAATGCGTGCGGACTAGTATGTATCCTAGACGAATGAGGACAAACGGATCAATTTAAATTGGAGATATGGTTGTTGAATGAAGGCTGTACGGGCGATGACCTGTTGATATACTCCTCAACACCGATACTTGATCGTCACAATACGTGATTACATACCGATGCCCTGGAAGGAAACGTAAAAGCCCCTGCACTCGGACCGTATTGATCATTGATGAGTTCGTAAAGGGGTCATCAAATGAGTGGTGAACAGCTTGCCACGGTCTAATGAGCCTCAATTCACTGTGTTTGGCAGAATAAGATGGACACATAGCAAACCGGCTGGAGTACTGCCACTGTTTGGCGCACAGTCGCCAATTATTGCAGCCAGGCACACTATTATTGGCCAGCCTTTGGCGCGGAATACGAGGATGATACTGGTTGTGGAAGTTCTGCGTTGGCTCACAAGGCTGTGCCACTATGGTATATGCCCAGGAAGGCACTGTGACTGGAAAGTACCTGGCAACACAAGGCAGCCACTAGCAACCCCATTTCTGCTTTCGCAAAGGCGGATGACACGACAGATAGATCCTTATTGGCGATGTTCTGGTGAGCCGAGTCGCCAGCCTATTACCATGGCTCCAGTGTTCCGGAATGAATGAATGGTGCTTCTAACCCCTACGCCTTCATATGAGTACAGTATACGAATGGATGCTTTGGTACGCCACGAGTACCCTTACTATAATGGGGATATTTGACTCCTCTATCCAACATTTGAAGTCTACGTAGTACATATAGACTAAGAATTAACCCATTGCCGATCCACCCCGAGCCTACTTGTGGGCCTTGTGCAGTCGGACCGGGCCGATGGTGATTCTCATCCATCTTACCATTTTGTATCTCTTCTCTCTTTCTAATTCTAAGCCGCGCAATTACCGTGCGGGTTGCTTGGCTGGACAGGAGCATGGGCGGAGTATGCAAGGCTGATGCTGACTTGCGCATATGCAAAGAATCGCACTGCCCAAGTCAGCCTCGTGCAGTTTGTGGGGACACGTCTACACACCTGCTTCAGCCTCGTCGCTCATGCTGGTGGTGGCGGGAACGGCGGTTCAGCAGTGGAATTGGAGAAAGAAGAATATATATGGGACTGTTTCTCCTGCAAGAATCATCCTGACTGTGACTGTAAATCTCAAAGCACCTCCATATATCACAAAGATATTCTCAGATCCCATCATGAGCCGAGAAGAGATCATTCGAAGCAGCGACCCTCGCACGGATGCCCTGAACTATGTGACCAAAAATGGCCGATATACTCTCCAGGTGGAGGAGTTCATCGAAGCCGGCAGACCAGACGGTACCGAGTTGCACAGTTCCTACGTGACACGCCATACTACGCCCAATGTATGAATCCCTCATGTGCAAAATCTCTATTCACATTCTGACTCGCCTCAAGGGACAAGCAGCGTACGCGCCTGCCATAAAGGGTGTCTCCGGCCATATTGTCGAGACGGGACAGTCGTTCACCGTCCGGGACGACTACGACTTCAACAACCCTTCTGGGGACGGGAAGGGGTACCATGTTAATGCACAGCTCGGCAAGGCGACGGTGGCCTTTGTCTCGGGCCAGAATAGCGCACAGGCGTATTATGATCGCACGAATATGACGGGCGAGAGATTGTATTTTGACGGGAAGCAGAGTGCTGCCTCGTGGTATACGCAGGGCCATTCACGCTGAATCGTTTGCATGAGAAGTTGGCGTGAAGGTATATGGCCGACACATGTGGCGTGTCTATTGATCTATCTGACTTGGTCTCGTATATCAAACCTACCGTATATCTGGTTGAAGGTACATCACCCTATTGTCATAGAGTTAAGCGCGTAGGTCCTCTTCCGTCAATGTAAATGTCCTCGCTCGACCCTTTCAGGCCCAAATTCACAGCAAATTATTATGGTGAGGCGATGAATACAATGATAAAGTCACAGTTCAGTGAATACTGAGTCACCAGGCAGCCCATAACGTTATACTGACAAGTTTGGATCCATGGAACCACGCGAGGCAGGTCCCGATGAATGAGCCTTGAGGTAATTTTTAGGTGTCTGCCTAAGTGAAGCAACTAGTTATTCACCGAGATACATCACTCCGTTGACTGCGATGACCATGTAATTGCGTCAATTGCCGTGCAGATGCTGTCGTCGAAGAGGGACTATAAAGTCTCCCCTCCATTCCTGACTCTTGTCATTACTTTTCTTCATTCTCCTCCACTGCTTAAGCCTGCAATGTTTCTCTCCAGATAACTTAACATCTTACACCTTGATCCAACATGCCCCCTCCCTCTCAACCAAATTCCATGGGCTCCGACCTGGAGCTGGCCTACGCCTCACCCAGTGGGCCCGATGGCAGGACAAGTCGTTATCGAGGATGCAGTAATGATGAGGGGAACCTCACCGATGATGGGTTCATTAACGAGGACATAAGAGTCGGCGGGCCACACCTTTGCGCGCTGCCAGCCCGATACATCCCCATAACCAAGAACCATCCCTTGTATTCGAGGCTCCAGGAAAGAGACCACGAAGTCTGGAAGTATGTAGCCCCTGTCGTGACGTACGTTCATTGGGTTGGCTAACATTTCAAACTGCAGGCGTATCGCTGAAATCCTTCAATCGAGCCAGGTCACGTTGAAGTCGGTCGACTTTGGTGTCAGGCAATATCGATGGGTACCAGAGGCGCCAGAGACAGTGACCACGTTCATCATTGCGCGCCAAAAGACCATCGACAACGGTTGGCTAGACACTGCCCGCAAGATCCGACAATATCTCGTCAGCCAAGGGCTGCAGGAGGTCTGTGTGGAAATTGCAGATGTCCGTGACCTGGACCGTGCCGCATGCAAAGGCCCCGTGAAACCAAGATATGGCATCGGAGTCGAAGTGGATGGTTTAGCTGCAGCCGCCTTTGGGGGTTACGTCGATCTGCAGAGTCCATGTACGGGGCAGTGGTTGAAGTTTGGTCTTACTTGCCTTGATGGTGTTGCTCTGGAAGAGAATCTTGACGGTAGGCAACGCGCTGTCTGGAAGAGATGTGTACTAACTAATGGAGTCCTAGGGTATAGTAGGTGGCGGCGCGATGGTGTCTTAGACCACGACCTCGCCAAACCCCACTTATGCCTGCACAGCCCAAGTCTCAGGGATTTGGAGGAAAGTCTCCGAGAATTCGATCAGGAGCTCGAAGGATGGCGGTCGTGCGACACGTACATGAGAGGCGTGCAGATGGAAGCTGAGGGCTTGTTAGACATGATGCCGAAGGCTGACCGGAACAAATATCCTATCGTCAAGTCGATCATTGCTGATACGGAAAGCTTTGTTAAGGAGCTTCGCGACTTTCGAGATAAGAACTACTGTCAACTCGGCCATGTCGTTGGTGTTTCTGGCAAGATGGCATCAACTTGCAAGTCTGACAGCCTGAAGAATGTGAACTGGGCCCTAATCAAAGTGGACAAGAGTCGTGAGGGCCCCAACGAGGTAAGCTCTCCACCTCCTTATATCCGCTGGTCGGTCCTAATGGAATGTTCTATAGCTGGGGAAGGGAATTGCATTGAGAATGGCATCTTCCAACGATCTCAATGACCTCTCGGATGAGCCACTCTTTATCGAGGGTCGCAGCTCAGGGTCCAGCGAAGGCGCTTACAGTGGTCTTAGACCGGCTTTGATTGCGGAGAAGATGGTTGACGGCATCATCATCTGTATGGGGACCATAGAGCACTCTGCTACCGGATACAATGGCGAGTCCTTCTCGCGGCCCGGCGATTCGGGCTCATTGATCTACCAGAGACCGGGCAAGGTGGTTGGCATGGTCTTCGCTGGAATAGAGTGGAGGGGAATCACCTTATTTACTCGCATTGACGATCTCTTCGAGGACATTAAGCAGCGCATGAGAGCGACAGGTATTCGCTTTTCAGAGGATTGATACATATTGGCGAAATGACCATTACACTACCATCCATTATAGTGACAGAATAGAAATGACTATAAATCACATAGTTAACTAACGCGGAGAAGCTGACAAATCCCCACTCCGATAAGATAACCCTATCCATAAGCCCCAACAAAAGCCTCATCTTCAGCTTCATCCGTTGCACGAGTATGACCACAGGTCGGTCTGTTGGCCCCAGAGAGATTAATGGTCCGATAAATGGACTGGATATACTCCAACAACAGCATTTGGTCTTCTTGACCAATAAATCCTCCTCTCTTGAGTCAGAAGCATGTTCCGACCAACCCCACGCTGCCTTAGCCTAAGTACATCTGCGATGGAAAATCGTGGTACATCTGATAGTCCAGCTCCACACTCCATTCCAAGACAAAACATTTGACAAGCGCGATAACAGCCATAGAGTCTAGATCAGATGTCTGAGCGCGGGAATTTGGGTACCTCCAAAACGATGTCACATCCAGCTGCGAAGTCGTGCCGTCCCACAAAATGAGTGCGATATCCGTAACTATCCTCACTGCATCGCCTGAATTTCCGCTGCCTGCGAAGACAGCTGCAGCCGCCATATCTGCCATGCTGTTCCTGACGAAGTGGTAATCCCATCCTTTTGAGACTAACCTTTCCGGCCATCTTTCGACCGCCGAGCGGAGGGTTGCCACCAACCGACTTCGGTAGTGGTCCATTCTGTCTTTTGCAAAGGCAACCAGAATATCACGGAGCCCTCGATGGACGGACCAGGAGAGCGAAGTCCACGGAAGACAATCCAAGGCTGTATTCAAAACCGCGGCCGACTCGGTCGGAATATGCAGGACCACGTCGAGTTCACCGCCGTCTTTACTGGGCAGGCACAGGGTGATCGAATTCTGCGGGGGTTCCGCACTCCATCGTCCCATAGACAGGAAGTCCACCTCGTTAACGTTGCCCCCGAGCATGTTGTATAGATGCCGGCCGCCATGTGCACTACCGAAGCCTTTCAGAGCATATTCCAGGATCCACTGGCCGCGTGACTTGCGCCCTGGAAAGGCACATCGAAAGTCCCATTGTGTACCGGCGTCGATGACTCCGGCTAGCATCTGTAAGCATTTGTCCACCCGTCTCTCCAGCTTTGCCGGATATACGTCCTTTATCAGAGTATGTGAATCATGAGCAGCGAAGTGCACGCGTGCAAGCCCGCCAAGCGGCCATTCCACTCGCCACTGACCACAATAGGATGCGTACGCCGCTCGATGGCCAGCAGCACCACTGTGTCGGAAGACAGGCCGTGCATTTGTCAGACAGAGGAGTGTTATGAAGGTGGTGCGGGAGATCACAGTACATGTCGTCATGCCCTCCTTCACAAGGGACAATAGGGGCAGGTCATCCCAGCCCTCGTGGGAGGAAGCCTCGGAGGATACAGTCTTCTGACCGGTCACAATTGAGTCCGACTTTGCATCCGAACCAGATCTCGGGCTGTATCCATTCTGGGCTTTTGAGTGGATGACTGAAAGAAGCAATGACCAGCCAGCCTCACCGGTTGGTCGGACGATTGGCAGCCGGCTCAGATCGACGATCATTCTGTCACTAAGGCCTTGGGGGAGATTGGCTTGAATGACCGGGCCTCTAGGAGGTGGTTTGACAATGCGATACCATGGAATGTGTTCCTGTCGATCCCGCCACCTTCCCAAGTGTTTCCCATTGCGCAACGCGTTAAAAGGATCTGTTTGATCAATGATAGAACGAAATTGCGTGACAATCGAACCCAAACCCAACACGGTGGCGGTTAGGGAGAGCCAAGCGGCAATCGTCGAGGAAACATCCATCTCGAGGTCCAAGTGACAGACAGTCGAGTCTGTTACGGAGAGAATCAAGAGTACAGATAGACCTAGGTAGTTACATTTCACGCCGAAGGGGGCTGGGGTTTATATCTGTCCTGTCCATCCGTGGTGTCACCGTCACGAAAAGCAAAAGTGATGTAAGTCTCAGACATAGTGCTACATGATGAGAATACTGCGCCGGAAAAAAAAACTCATCTTAAATACAAAATAGAATCTATAGGTATAGAAGGAGACTTGAAAGTGTATGCATAGTAGAGCTGTGGAGCATCTAAGACTCTGGAATAATTAGTAAGGGGAGAAAAGTGCAAAAGAAGACATTCTAGTTTGCCAACCACGATATACTACCAGGTTGTTGTATCAACAGGCAGATAGAAAGACACTTATATATATTTATGCTACTAACTGCAGATATCACCAATATAGAAGGGGAAATAATATAGACTATATCTATTTGTAGCGTTTCTCCTAAAATATAGACTGGCTCATATGATGTGGCCACGTGACACGGGTTATCCCCTCGGAGTTGATCCTACAGAGTAGATAATGTGTGACAACTTACAAAAACCGTATATTGCCGGTGCTGAAGACAGCTACACGGGGTATGTTCTGATTAGGCTGGCTAGACGGCCCCAGTCCGAGATGAATACCATGAGCTGAACTGTGTACAAAGCAAATCCATAATATCCCCAGCATGTCCAGTCACCCCGCCGCAGATCGGGTGACACCCGCAACAAAAGGTACCTTCGTACCCGGCCTGATCTCTCTTCCTACTAACACACTCGTCTGCTCATAGTATGGACCACCCTCATCACAAACACAGCCTACCTCCCAGGCCTCTTGACCCTGGACTACTCCCTCAAAAAGGCGGGCTCGAAATACCCGCTCGTGGCGCTGTACACGGACACCTTCCCAGCCGACGGACACGCAGCGCTCGACGCGCGCCGCATCCCCAAGCAGCGCGTGCCCTACCTCCTCCCCACGGTGCCGAAAGACTTCGCCAACGACGTCCGCTTCTACGACTGCTGGAGCAAGCTGACCCCGTTCTCGCTGGTGGAGTATGAGCGCGTCGTGCAGCTGGACAGCGACATGCTGGTCGTCCAGAACATGGACGAGCTGATGGACTTGGAGCTGGATCCGCCGAGCATGGGCGGGACGGGCGAGCGCGTCTTCGCAGCTAGCCATGCGTGTGTGTGTAACCCGCTGCGCAAACCGCATTACCCCTCTGACTGGTATGTTGCGTGGTTCTTCTGCTTCTGGGTGTGGGGTCGGGATCAACCGAACAGGCGTCTAAGGTGACTTTGATTCTTGTAGGATACCGACCAACTGCGCGTATACGAGTCAGCATGGCGTTCCGGATCTCGCGCAAACTACGGCCCCGGCCGCGACGGCGGGTCTGGGGATCCCGAATGGTGGTCTGCAGGTCGTGAACCCGTCTCGGGCGACGTATGACGTTATTGTCCATCAGCTGGCGAGCTCGGCGACTTCGGAGTACGCGTTCGCGGACCAGTCGCTTCTTGCTGACACGTTTCATGGGCGCTGGGTGCCGTTACCGTACAAGTATAATGCGTTGAAGACCCTGCGGTGGGAGGGTGTGCATGACTGTATTTGGCGAGATGATCAGGTCAAGAATGTCCATTACATCCTGAATCCGAAACCGTGGGAGGACGCCCTCGGTCAACGGGTGAATGGCGGTTCCAGTCACGATCCGACACATTCGTGGTGGTGGGATTTACATCAAGAGAGGTTGGACGATGACAGGATGCGGGGCATTACGGACGAGTTCTAGATGCTTGACGGTTTATGTTGCAATAGATTTCAGGACTCCTTCACGATGGCATTGGTATAAACAGCTCCAAAATATTTACATCATCCGTTATATCCCAACCCCTCCAGCTCCTTCCGCACCGCCTCCTCCGTCTGGATCTTCTTCATCTGCGTGTCCTCCAGCTTCTCGCCACCCGCAAGCCGCATTTTCAGCTCGTCGATCGCCCGGATCTTCTTCAAGAGTCCGCGGATCTTCTTGTCCTGCGCGGTGGGCGCTCCGCTGTCCTCCACAGGGGCCGGCGCGGGAGCAGGCGCAGGGGCAGCCGCCGGCTTGGCGGGCGCCCCGTTGGCCTTGGACTTGCTGCGCTCGTGGCCGCCCTTGTCGTTGCGACGCTCGGGGCTCTGGCTCTGCGAGACGTCGCCGTCCTCGGCATCGCGCTGCTTCTTCGCCTCGCGCTTCTTCTTGTTGCGCGCCGCCGATTTGGACAGCTTCTCAGGCTGGTCCGCGCCAGGGGGCAGGGCCACGCCACCGCCGGGCGCAGCACCCGGGGGCAGATACTCCTCGGCGGGCTCGGCGCCAGGTACGGCGCGTTGACGGGACCGGCCGAAGCCGTTCAGGCCGGTGATACCGTCGCGGACATACGCAGCGCCGCCCTGGTCCTCGCGCTTGAAGGCCAGCGGGGTGAGCTGTCCGCGGGCGCCAGGGGGACGGTACGCGCCGGCCGGCTTGACGGGGGCCTTGCGGGTGCTGAGATAGGCGACCGCAGAGGGGTGCGGCGTGGGCAGCGGGTTGAAGGGGTCGGTCAGCGGGTGCTGTGTGGTGGACTGGGGTCTCCAGAAGACGTCGTACAGCTCGTGCATGTCCTCGTTGTACATGAGGGCGCCGCTGACGTGCCAGATACGGATACCGTTGTCGACGCGCAGCCGCGGGCTGGTCGTGGCGGTCAGGATGAACTGACCGTCAGGGGACCAGGCGCACACGCTGGCATTGGAGGCCTCCACCGTGGTGACCTTGTGATAGTTCTTCTCCAGGTCGTAGATGTCCATCTGGCCGGCCAAGTTACCGAAGCCGGCCACCAAGACAAAGCGTCCGTGGGGAGAGAAGAGGATGGTATTCCGCGGGGCGAGCGCAAAGTTGTGTTGAGGCACGCCGCGGAAGTTGAAGATGGTGGTCTTGGCCGGCATGTAACCGTAGACGACACCAAACTCCTTCGAGTTGGGCGACCAGGTGACGTCGTGGATCGGGCCCTCCTTATCTAGACAGTGTCAGCGATGGTGACGGACGCTTCATGTTTCCAGTACATACCCAAATCCACGCGGGAGTCGAAGCCGCCCGTAATGCTCAGCAGGTACAGGGTAGTCTCTCCGTAGTAACTCTTGCCGGTCTTGTCCACCTCGGTCTGCGCGAGCACAATACAAGTCGTACCAGACGCATTCCACTTCAGCTGGACCTTGTCGCCCTTGAAGAAAGTTTTCTGCGAGACCGGCGCCCCGAACTGAGGGACCATGAACAATTTGACCGCCGCAGGTTGGCCCTGTCGTTGTCAATACCAACACCCATACATATGGCATATAATAGACGCAACGTACCTTGCGCTCTGGCACAAAAACAGCAACCGACGGGTTCTTACCCGGCGAGAGCGAAAAATCACTCACGCCCTCGACCCGCAGCTTATTCCACACCTTGGCCAGGTTATCGCTCTGGAAGAACTGGACCTCGTTGGTGACGACGCGAGCGCAGAAGCGCTCGTCGGCCGTGTACTGGAGGTTCCAGCCGGTCTGCGACTTCTGGACCCAGCTCCCCACGACAGTATGGGTCTCGGCGGGGGCGTCGGGCGCCTGCTCCACGACCTGCCAGACCTTGAGGTTCTTGGTGGCGTCGCCATTGGCGTCCTTGGACGGACGTTGCCAGGTGATGAGGTAGGTTCCGAGGGGGGAGAAGCCCAGCTCGAAGACATTCTCGGCGGGGATGGTCGAGACGACGTGACCGACGGAGGGGTCGACGATGGTGACCCTACACCCATTAGACTGGTTCGCCGCCTACTTGGAAGGGGGACATACTTCTCCGGAGAGGCCCAGGCGAAATACCGGCCGCAGGGCGAATACGCACTGCAACGGAGGTTTCCCTCGGGTCTGAATTGTCAGTCTCGTCTCGCCACTCGATCGGGTGCTGGTCTGGACCTACCGCTCAAACCCCGCCAAAGGCTCATACACCGGGGCCGCATCGAAGATACCGATCCCCTTGACGGTACGGACTGCACGAATTAGCCATTGGTCATGTCCGGGATGCGAACGGCACCAGGAACGGGAACGCACAAGCAAGCTGCGTGGGAGCGGCCATATCGAACCAACCGTGTGCTCGGGAAAACTCTAATTGATCGGGAATATCAGCGCAATGAGAAGCGCAGGCGACGACGGTGCAAGATCGTCGACAATCAAAAGGGTCGGAGAAGCCGAGTGTGCAGGTGTCGCGTCACGGACGATGGCGATCGTGGACGGATTTCGGAACAGCGCTACAAGCCGTTTCAAGCGGTTCAAACCGTAAAGACCGTTCAGATATCGGTCTCGGAAGACAATGTCTTACAAGCGACGACGAAAGCGACGACGGGTTCCCAGGCGACAGGTTGTGGCGTGGAAAGTTGTCTGACGCAACAGGCAGACGCACAAAGGAACAGCTGAACTTGGCAAAGTCGTCGGGTCTCCAGTCCAGTGGTTTTGGGGATGCTTGACAAGTCAATGCCAGCAATGAATGGGACAGGAAGACGGCGGGGGGAGAATGCGAGCGAGCGAGGAGCGCGAGTGAGTGAGGGAGGGAGAGGGAGAGGAAGAGGAGGAAGAGGAAGAGGAAGAAGAGAGAAGAGTGGGGAGGAAGACAAAGCGGTGGGAAAATTCCACCGCAGTCGCCTTCCGCCTCAGTGATGCCTGAAAACTTAGGCTACTAAACACCGTCCATGACTCTACGGAGTATAAAATCCACGATAAAAATGACGACTAAATTCGTATCCTACAATTATGGCAATATCAATCGCGCAAAGCTAACAATAAAAAAAAAAATAAAATACATCAAATCCAAATAACGCCTACCTACACCCGATCGCCCTCCTCCCGACTCGCCGGTGTCGCCAACCGGGGCGTCCTAATGGTCGTATCCACCACATCCGCATCATACGTGACCCCATCGACCATTCTGGCATCCTGCACCCCAGGCTCGGGGGTCACCGACCCAGCCGGGGAGAACGCAACGGCGCCAAAGGAACCCGGCCGACCGGAGCCCGAGGACATACGGTTCAAGCCGGGATGATGCTGAAGGTGATGCTGCTGCAGATGCGCCGCGGACGACGTCGGACCGCTGATAGTGCTCGCGCCCTCGCCGAAGCCGACCAGACTCGCATCGCCCTCGTCGCTGAGGTCGCCGACGCTGGAGGCGCGATCGTCCGGGTCGGGGTCCTCGCTCATCTTGTCGGCGTCGAAGGCGTCGCTGCCGCTGGCCCAGGTGGTGCGGGCGCCAACGCTCCCGGTGGCGCTGGCGCTGCCGACGGTGCTGCGTTCTTTCAGGGTCGGGGTGCCCTCGAAGTAGTAGCCCGGGTGCGAGGCGGCGGACGTGGCGCTGGGGGTGATGGGAGTGGCCGCCGGCGCGGGCGGTGGCGACGCGCTCAAGGCCGGCAAGCCGGGAGATGCGATCGGCGCGTTCGGCCTCAAGGGTGGTGGTGGAGGTGGTGGATGCGGAGGGCGAGTGATGCGAATGGCGGCTGTGAGGGAGGGGTTGGCCAGTGTGGCCGTCTTTGATGGCGGTCGTGGAAAGAGCGGAGAGGGAGGTGGTGCCGGAGTTGGGGGTGCCTCTGTGTTGGTTAGTAAAAGTGTCTGGATGGTAGATCGACAAGGCGATGGAATGGAGTCTTACGGGCCCATGTCCGACGGCGTCACCGGGTCGGAGGGCGGGGGAGGGAGATTGATGAGAGTGGGCGTAGTCATGGTGAGTTTGTATACTCCGTAGAGTGTCAGGGAGGAAGTGGGTGGTAAGTGAAGTGTCGGGATTCAATCGGCTACTGTGGAGAGGAAAGATGAGGACGAGGAGGTTCTTATTATGGATGGAGGAGAGGAAGAAGGTTCAGGGCCGAAAGGAGAAACGATGGGCTGCAGTGAGACGGCTCGGAATGACGTCCTAGGAGGTCAATTAACTCGACACAGCTACAAGAGATTTGCACTGCATGGAGGGATCGTCGCGACGGGATATTGAGACATTCAGGAACGATTCATACGAGAAGAGGACGAGAGGAAAAGAGAGCGAAATGGATGGCCTCGTAAAGGGGCGGGAAGAGTATGACGTCATATCATGGGGGCTATCATTATTCATTCATTCAGGGCCATAACTACCATCCGCAGTCCTACTCTAGGGGCCTTAGAGCTACCTAAAGATAAAAGTATATACACATCCGTGTCTTCATGGACTCACCCTCCGGTTCTCGTAATGTCCCCGTAAGTCGTCCACCTCCTTCTGCAGTCGCGACAAATCCGCCAGGATGTCGTGCGCGTTCGAGGGCTGCGGCACAAACGGCTCATTCTCATCCCCTGGGTTCGGTTCTCGCATGCTCGTCCGCCGCGCGCTGTCACTGCTTTGTCCGCTTGAGCCGCGCATCCGTCGGGGAGGGGGCGGTGGTGGCATCACATTCCCCTGCGACATCCGTTTGGTAGATTTGGTAGACCCCGATCGCACGGGAGGAGAGGTCAGCGACGGCGTAGACGTATCTCCGGGCAGTGCTGATGTAGTTCCCGTGTGTCCAGTGGGGAGAGGAGTGCCCAAGGATGCCTCTGTCGACGGGGCATCCCGCGTCCGAGACGGCGTCAACGACCAGGCACCTGGACTCGGCGGAGGAGACTCAGAGCTCTCCCCGTCGAGGTTGGGGATGGACAATCGGGAGGAGCTCGGCTTTGCGTGCGTCGTTTTCGATCGCCGCATCTGGCTGTGTCGCCGGCTTAGCGGCGGCGTGGGTGGACGCTTATACTGGGACTGACTGCGCCGGAGGGACTCCATCGCCCGCTCCGGCTGGCTCCCCGTGGCGCCCGTAAAGTAATCCGCATTGGACACCGACGGTTTGGGGGAGATGGACGCTTCAGAGGGCGTCCCATGAAACGAGAAGCGGTTGGCGGCTTTGATGGAGGGCGTGTAGGAGGGGGCAGGGCCAGGACTCGGCGTGATCAGTTTTCCATGATGACTCTTCGGGGGAGGCGGCGGGATCTTCTCCCGGTTTCCAGGGCGGCTCGTCAGGGATTTCGTCGTGGAGTGTCCGGTCACTGGCCGGGAGGATGTTCCAGCGGGATGTGCGGATGGCGTCTGGGAGAGATCGGTAGAGCTACTCTGTGCGGTGCGACCACCCGGATAAGGGGTTCCCGAGCTAACTGACATTTCCGAGTCATCCTGATAACGAGCATAGTCATCCAGACGGGCCGGGACACTCTGAGTATGCAGTCCCATGGCGGACTTGGCCCCTGTGGGGGGTGTAGGATATGACGCTACGGATGCGGCGGCATCGCTGAATTGTCGGCGACGGTCATCCGTGGACGACGTCAGCGAGTGATTGGGCGCGTTCCGTTGTGCCCAAGCGATGTCGGCTTCGTCAACTCCGGCATTTTCGTCGTCGGTCGTCGAGTCTTGGTGAAATGGGTCGGAGACAGACTGATCATCCGACGCTACCGAATCGGCGGGATCAGACGCGCCGGCAACGGGGGACGGGGAGACGCCATTCGGAGGCAGAGACGAGGACGGAACGCCAAACACAGGATACGAGGGAACAGAGGTGACCGACTGGACGGGCGCAGGGCGAGCAGTCGTCGGAGGATGGGTAGCTGTAGGATCTGCAACGGTCAGCATGAGCTTCCCGTCCGTTGACAGCCCGATTGCGGGGGAGAGAGACACACCCTCGGGCTTCTTAGGGCGGAATGGATTTAACCCAGACATCGTAGAGGAGAGGAGGCACACCGACCATGAGAGCAAGAAGGGGAAACCAACAATGGAACGAGATGGGATCAGGAACGAGGGGAGAGGGTGAGGCGCTGCCCGCAGAGAGGCGCTGACCCGCGCGGCTTCGGCAAGCGCCACCTGGGTAGTAGGAGCAGTAGTAGTAGACTTTACGAGGTACCAAGTACCAACCAGTAGAACAGGAACACTGATCACTGCATTCTGTCTTCTCTGATCAATCACGATGCAATCACATAGGAAACTAAAGAACGAACATCAAGGTATATGTATGGTACAGAGAATATAAAATAAATAAAAAAGAGGATTACCCCCAAACCTCCAGCCCATGACCACCACCTCGTCCCAAACACCTCCAGTAGTACAAACAAATAAAACTGATCATCGTCATTGCAGATTCTTCTTGTGTGCATATCCGAAAGGAGCAAGAAAACAAAAAAGGAAGAAAAGGGTATCAACCGCCGGGGGGCCGGATAGCCCGCCACGGCTTCTCCGGAGACCGGAGACGTCTAATCCAAATGTGTCGTCGGCGTATCAGCTTCTCAGCTCTCCTCGTAGACATGCCACTCCTCGTCGCCGAAGAAGGCTTGCGCCAGCGCCTTCCCACTCTCGGTCGGCTGGCTGAACGCCATCTGCTCTTTGGGGATCTCCATGCCATAAATGAAATTGCTCACGACACAGTCCAGCAGATCCATGGCAATGCCCTTTCGTCGCGACGCGCCTGAGGTCCAGATGCGTGAGACTCCCACGATGGCCGGATGTGTTACGTCGCGTCTGGTGACAGCGGTGTCGACGCCGTTACGCGGGGCGGTGGGCTTCTCAACCGGGTGTGCCTCCCAGATGCGCTCCGTCAGACACGCGCCCACGCAGCGACTATCCTTCATATGTAAAAACACCTTGTAGCGATCGACCTTTTCGGCTGACCCGTGGGACCCGCGGAGGTGTTCGGGCGGCTCGATTTGACTCCACAGCACGTCGTCCTCGATCTCCGGCGACGAGAGCTCCTTGCTGATGACCTCGAGGACCTTCTTGGCCTGGTTCTTCGCGGTGGGCGAGGCCTTACGGTCGACGATGACCACGTATCCCTCGTCGAAGCGGGTGGCTTCGTAGACCCATCGTGAGGCGTTGGCGCGCATAAATGCCTTGCCCAGATCGACGCCGGTAGAATTCATATCGTGGAATTTCTTGTGCAGGGCGGCATCCTCGGCGTTGGACGGGACGTATTCCATGCCGCAGGTGGCGCAGGTGCGGCGCACCTCATGGCCCAGGTCGATCTGCATCTGGCGCAGGGCGGGCTGATGCGGTGTGCCGGCGGCCGCCGCAGCAGCAGCTTTCTTCTTGGGCGGATCGACGGAGGCGCGCACGCTGTTGGAGTTGACCTCGGTGAGGGGGGAGCCGGAGCCGTTGGGGGTGGCGTCTTTTGCGGTAACGGAGGCATGTTTGCGCTTGAGGAACGCAAAGGTCGGTTTGCGCGTGTTGGCGGGCGGCGGGCTCAGACGCGGCGGCGGCGATGAGGGCGGCGTGGACAGGGCGACATCCTCGGTAGCTTCTGAGAGCTGAACGGAGTTGCGACGCGATGGGCTCGACCGGATGGCGGCGGAGGATTCGCGAATGGCGTATTGGAGACTATTTTCAGCGTCGTCCGAATCGCTGCCCGACTGGACGCGTCGTTTCTTGGCTGCCGGATGCTGGTCATCGTCATAGACGCGCCAGGAGGATCTCCCATATGTTTTCATCATCAGACCGCTGGTTGAGGGGGGATTTTTGTTAGCTGGAGGTGGGAGGAAGGGAGGGAAGGGATAGGCGTACCGCTTGAAGGAATTGGTTACAGTCCACGGCATCTCCCTGTTTACCACATGTATTGGGGGGACATTTACTCCGAGGGAGAGCTCTGGAGTGGGTAGAAGGAGGGTTCAGAGATATCAGGGGGGGAAGAAGGAGTATAGGGGAAGATGATGTTTATGTGGGTGGAGTGGAATGGAATGGAGAGGATGATGATGATGATTTATTTTCCACGGAAGGCTTCGGCGGCGAAATGATCGCCGGAACGCGTTCTGCCACTAGGCCCAATTGGGGTATATTGTTTCTGCTAACCCAACAGTACATGTACCGGTAGTTAATCAATGATCTTAATAATGTAGGTATGTCTAGATGATAGTATATGTAGAGTGCAGAGGGTATGGATTTATAAGAGTATAAGTATGAATAAATCAAGGAGTGTTGGGATCTGTAAGGGTCACCAAGATATACTTACGGAGAACGGTGCAGCTACAATAGATACTCACCTAATACCACAATATATCGCTGAATACTACTACAAAATCACTCACTTCAAGACTCCAATATTCTATCAGGATTATATAATCGATTGAGATAATAATTACAACATCTTATACCCATCATCAGCACTTCAATGTATCATCCAATGCAAGAACCCACTGAGATGCCGGTCGATCACCGCTTCGTGTCACCACCAGTTCTCCTCGCAGAGCATCCTCCAGTACCACATCGAATACACACACTTCAAACCGACTTGGGCATGAACACACCACAGACTGACTCGGACCAGCTCAAGACCGCTCCTTGCGGAAGGATGCTCATGCATACGGGTTAGATCCAGTCCTTGCGCCAGAAGCGTCATCCTCCCCCACCATCCACCCCTGAGAACACACACCGAGCTTCATTTCCACCGCCATCGCCGTTGACGCGGATCCATCGCCCCTCGCTCCTTCTCAGTGGTCGCGGCCGACGGGGCGCCGGGTTTCTTGCATGCCCAGCGTCACACATCAAGTCATCTGGAACGGTTGACGACTGGTGTTTGAACTTTGGGATGGCGATGGTGCGGGCGGTGGTGACACAGAAAGTCATGGATGGGGTTGCCACTGGTAATGCAATGCAGCGTTCTTGGGGACAGCCTGGTATTGTGGATGCAATGCCTCCCTCGTATCCACGCCCAAGCACCACGGCTCTAGATTGGGTCGATGGATTGTGTGGGATATGAGATCCCAACAATACGAGGGCCGTCTCTGGTGTGCCTCCTGCCTAGTGCTGATCGGAGATTAGGCTGGCTGCCTGGAGGCGGATCCGTGGGGATGCAATCGGACACAATCCGTTGTACAAGGCAGATTCATTGCTTTCTAATCGATAGGCTGTCATCGTCTCTGCGATCGGGCGAACAAGGGCTTACTTTCCAGTCACAGTCACATACAAGACACCAGCGATGTTAGTAGAATGTTCTGGACATTATTTGTTTTTGTGGATGAAGCGCGATCAATTTGGACAATAGGGAGATGATGATGGCTGATATATCGGACTTGAATTGGCGGTAGTAAGTCGTCCCCCTTTGGTATGAACCTCTACATCCAACAAAGTTCTAGGCTGGGGATAATCAAGATGGCATTCAAAGCGTCAATCATTCTACTCAAAGGCAGCTGTTATTTTCGCTCTCATATGATGATACTTATTGATGACTTCAGGGATGCGACAAGGTTCCATATCAGGGGCCACAATATGTGATAGTTCATCATCACCAGCCATCGACTAATCGGGCCTTGTATATTCACCTAGCAAACGCCATATGTGAATACAATGAAAGATGTATGCAGATTATCCCCTTGGTGAAAGGACCCTAACCTCCATTGAAGAGCTTCAATCAATAAGCACTGGTATATACGGCTTCTTCTCGCCCCCTCTCATCATCTCCTCTCTGTGTATCACCTCCCACCTGTCTCAACATCAGAGGGAGCCCTTCCAATTGCTGACGCGCGACCGGGAGTACTATTGACCAAAATGACCACTACGCTACCAAAGGTATAACATTAAGGCCTCCTCTCAGGTTGGCAAGTACCCTCACGCTATAGAGGTTGAAAAGATGGAAGTAGACCTGACATTGGGACTTCCACCTAATCATCGCGTGGTGTACTCCACAAGCCTTTCCACCCTTCAGAGCATGGCACAGGCCATTCTGTCGAACCTCGAGAACATCAGCGATACTGGAACTAGTTCATTGTCGTCGTGAACCTCCGGGGACGACGCGTTCTTTATTGGAGAACGATCCCTGCGCATTGGAAGTCGAGTTCAGTCTCCAATTTGCCAGACGTACAGCAGTGATCTGGATCCTCCTTCACATACGCACGATATAACTACCAGAAGCCTGTCAGTCGCGGTTTCATCTGGCCTGCATTACCAGGGAATCCCAAGGGCGGGAAACTATTAGTGGTCTGTAGCCTCGACGTTCACGGACTGGACAGGCCAGAAGGGCAAGTAGGCTGACGACTGTTTTCTACCGCGGCCTCGGATGGGTCTAAATGGTGAACCGCCCAACTGGCCTACCTTTGCCCTCGAGACGGCTGTGTGGAGCCCGTAACAAGTTGGAGACCCAAGCCCATCGATGCATGGCCCGCCGCCGGAAGGACTAGGCTCTTATGAACATCAACGCTCAGTGCGACTTTTACGAACAAGTTTTGTTTTCGCGAGACGAACGACAAGCGCAACCCGGTCCGGAATCGTATGGATGAGCTCTGGGAGGATGCAATCATAGCTGGGCCATGCCTTTGTGATATATGCGGGCGCTATCGTGCCTGACATGAAGGGGGTATCCCAGATGCAGATGTTCTTAGCAGGTATAAATCCCGGACGCATCTTGTGATGACTGAACGCCGCATAGAATGGTCTTAGGGAGTGGTGACATTGTATACTATCGCAGAAGGCACCGACTCCATGAAAAGCTCCCAGGGAAGCTGCTGTGTGAAAGTTGCCATGTTTGTTTTCAATACGAACAAGAGAATGCGGTGCAAGGCTGTGGCGAGACGTAGCCTGGTGGTTTGAAAACAGCAACGGAGAGTGCGGGTGGTGCTTCGCTTGACTATCAGTCGAGTCAGCAGGGCCGTCGACTGGGAACAGCTCTAACTGGTACCGCCAGATCAGGCCGACCATGACGAGATCTATCGCAAGTTGGAAGATACGTCTGGCAGTTGGGAGATTGGTTACGTATTTTGACACGTTGAAGAGAGCTGAACGATGGCCGTTGACGTGTTCAATGGCCTGTTTTATATCGTGAGACGATTTCTGCTCCTACTCTCGCTCAGGTATAGCTCCCTGTTCAGAATATTCCCACTTTCGTGTCGACTCAACTCCTTGATTCTCGCATATCACTGCCCTGTGTGTAGATAGAGTTCTTATTATTTACATTCCACAGGGTGGATCGGGAGTCACGTCCGACAAATGAGGTACAATGACGAAAGACGGTTATGCATATTGCGTTGGAATGCGCTATTTCCGCACTGTATTACGCCTTCTTGTCGTCCTTCACGGCACTACGAGGTGGCGCGTCCATACTATCCTCAGAGTAGTGCTCTTGTCAGCAGTTTCGGCACAGGAAGCGTAGCCATAAGTAAGGAGCGTCTGATTCGTTTGTCCGACATTTAGCATGATATCTGTATAAACAAGTTCCTGAACTGATAATCTCGCCAGTGATCAATAACTACATTCCGATGATGGCTCCGGTAATCACACCGCTAATGTCTCAATCGTTCACGCTATTCTGAGATATTCTGGATCAAACATCCTAAACTTGCGTTGTCGAGGCATTGTACCGATGAGACATGTCACAGAGCACAGCCGTTCGGAGGTCTCGTTTGTGACGGATGTTTCCCGACTCAGATAGAAGTATAACCTGTACTAAGACGGGCTCTTGTTATGATTGACTTGCGTGCTTGCCCTGGGCGTCGCTTGGGATTCGTGTGGCGTGAGTCAAGAATGACTACGCAAAGCTACGCGGCCAGAGGACTTCGATGAGGTTCAAAGCACAGCATCATGATGTCGACTGGAAAACTGTCCCATATACGATATGGCTGGTGTTAGATGAGAAGTGGACAGGCACGGACAAAAACAGACTGAACAGTGTGGAAAAATGACGGCCCGAGGGCGATGTCATCTCCAAACAGTCAACAGGTTGTCGCTACCAACTCCCTAATGATTTCCCTCCACGATCGATCAACACAGGATGGTAACCAAGTGCAAGGTTGCTTGCAAAGCCTGCAACTTGCGACGGGTGAAGTGTGACCGGACTGAGCAAGGACCCTGCTCGAACTGTCGATTGGCAGGGCAAGATTGCCAACCCATCGTGTCCAGGCGTGGAAAGTATGCTGCTATTCTATATTCCACTTCCTGGACCCTTATAATGGTTTGCAGGATTCAATGGAATTGACAGTATTTAGGTATCCGCGTACTGGTGTCCAGCGCACCGAATCTCGGGCGGCATTGCGTCGATCTCAACGACGGCAAGACAACGAGGGTAGCCACAATAGTGCATTGTCGGAAGAATCATATCAAGACACTATCACAGTCGGACTAGGTAGCTCTGATGCTAACAATGCTACCACGCCAGCGTTGTCGTCAAGACAGAATTCACAGCATCCCACTAGCTCAGATGGCAAGGTGACATACTATGGGGATTCATCCAATCTTGAGTACATGCTGCATGAAATGGGAGATCCCTTGAGTGCTATGTCCAATGGCCTCAATTTGGAAGGCACCATTGAGAACTTATATCTCAAGCAGCTTGGACCATCGACTAGAAGCTTGCTGGAAGACCACCGTCGGAACGAGGGTCTTTATTTGAAGACCAATAGGGCCTTCGAAACATTCGAACGGACTATCGGTCAGGACCTTATACGAACCTTCTTCGAGTTGTGCCACCCTCAGATCCCAATTTTTGACAGAGCAGATTTCCAGCTCAAATATGAAGCTGGGAGGGTTTCGCTTCTTATTCTACATGCTGTGTACTTTGTGGCAATGGCCCACTGCAATGAGACGCTCTATAGGCAGGCTGGATTTACCGACAGGTATTCGGCTACTTTCGCATGTTACCAGAAGGCAAAGACACTATACGATGCGAGCTATGAATCCGACGCTATAGCTACCCTTCAAGCGGTCTGTCTCTTGTCGTACTGGTGGGGTAGTCCGTTGGAACAAAAGGACATGTGGCACTGGCTTGGTATTGCGAGCGGTTTAGCGCAGTCTCTGGGATTGCATCAACGGTTGGTACACGGAATCACATTTTGTCAGTCGACTAACCCTTCTCTAGGAAAACCTACTCGGGATTGAATGTGAGGAATAAAAGATTATGGAAGCGGCTTTGGTGGACCATATATGTACGAACCCCTGCATGAAACAGGACCTCAGCTAACCTGGCCCGGGAGATCCATGATATCTCTGCAGCACTTGTGCTAGGAAGGACTCCGCACATCAATGATGCGTACTGCAATGTAGGCATGCTGAATGACGACGATTTTGATTCGGACGACGATGAAGTAAATGCCGATCTGTTTGGTGATCCATCTCGCGATTCCCGACTGTACTTGGTATATTCAGCACAGCTCTACCTGCACAGTATGTTTCCCCTCTCCATTCTTTGCTTAACTGCTAACCTATAAAAGCGAGCAAATGCATGTTAGAGATAGCTAGGGCCGAGTCCGATGAATTTCCGGTCACCCAAAGCCTGGATGCTCTTGCATCGTGGAAGGACTCTCTTCCCGTCGAACTACGACTCGGACAATCCATGATTTCTGCGAATACTATCCCCTGGGCCTCCTTGTTCCATTTGAGCTACTTGTAAGGACAACGTTTGCTTGGGATGCACCCTTGTTGTTACGCAAATTGATCAGAAATTAGCACTGTGCAAATTTTACTACGCCGGAGCAGTTTGAAACACCACGACGGAATGAAGGTGGGAACAATTGCCTTTAATGCAGCAGTGCAGATTGTACGAATACTGGAAGACCTGGTGTCATTGCAGCTCCTACACTTTGCTTTGCCGCGCAGGTATGTCTTTTTCTGCAAAGCCATAGTGCAGATTGAACTAACAACGCAAGTTCCGCTGCTGTTTTGGCCGCGCTCTCAGTCCAAATTGCAAACATGCGTGAATGTGCGGCCCATATCGTCGAGGTTTCGAAGCATAGAGCCCGACTCTGTATGTTTGTCATGAATAAACTGAAGGATCATGCGCCTCCCCTCGCCTGGTATTATCGCCTCTTTGTGCGACTGTTGCACGGCTTGGGCTGCCAGATTCCAGAAGAAGACATTCAAGAACCCATCCAGAATCAGCGCTTACACGGATTGACTCCATCTACGACAGACTTCACTTATAACAATCAATCAGGCCACGATCCAAATCTCCCTGACTTTGGTTCGCTATTCAATGATCCAGCGCTCAGTGACTTGAACCTATCTGAGGCAGTGTCCTCCTTCGCATTCTCCGCATTGCTCAACAGTGACTCAATTGATGAGACTTCAGCTGCCATGGAGAATCACGACCTCGATATGTCGTCTACCTAACATATATTCATATGCTCGGGCGACTCAAAATATACGTTGGCACATCTCCTATGCTCGACTGGACACACTAATATACACAGACAAGCGGCACTGTACACCTACATCTCACCTCCGATACCACATCCTCGTGATCTTAGTCCTCCTCATCTTCTTCTGCAGCTGAAAAACTGCATACAACAGCGCCTCCGCCGTCGGCGGACACCCTGGCACATAAACATCCACCGGCACAATCCGATCCACGCCCCTGACCACGCTATAGCTATAGTAATAGTACCCACCTCCGTTCGCGCAGCTCCCCATACTAATAACCCACTTGGGGTCCGGCATCTGGTCGTACAATTGTCTCAACGCAGGGGCCATTTTGTTGGTCACAGTGCCTGCAACAATCATGACGTCGGCTTGACGAGGCGACGCGCGGAATATGATACCCAGTCTGTCTTGGTCGTACCGCGGCATCGAGACGTGCATCATTTCGATGCCGCAGCATGCGAGCCCGAAGGAGAGGGGCCACATTGAGCCTTGGCGAGCCCAGTTGACGAGCTGGTCGGCTGTTGTTCTAGTTGTGCAGTCAGCGGGTGGGATCTTCGAGATACATGAGGAGGAGGGCTGCGTGCAGGAGATATTCAAGCTTGCCGGTCTTTTCGTCCTGGCTTTTGGTGGTGTTCTGATTCGGGAGCGAGGATACGGTGTGTCGGTGCCACGTTGAGGACTGCCTTGTTTGGGTGGTCACTGTTAGAAATCTGAATCGCCCACCGGCTCGGTGGAAGACAGTAGCGAGCTTTTTCAATGCCTGAGGTTGTGTTAGAAGTGAACTTCCCATCTCGTGGCTGTTGCGGCTAACAGGAGGCCTACCATAGCATGGATGATTGATGGACAATATCAATTTCAATTGTGTAGAGGAGACAAAGTACTCAGAGAAAGGATAAAAGACTGTTTTAGAAAAGGAGCCAAGTTTTATAAAAAATCAAGGTCTTGTCGCCGATATGCTCGATGTTGGGATAGGAGAAGCAAGTCGGCGATATACACGGCTGACCGTATCGGCGATATGCCTAACGAGGTCAATGTCGCAACTGAACACCAGTTATACATTGTATTTAAAGTAGCAATGCAGGCCATAGTAAGTGTCTCTAAGTCTGTATCTATTTGCCAAGGGACATGGCTTTGTCCCCAACAGTCATATCAATACTAGGGAATCAGACTAACTCTTCATAGCAGGCGCAATTGTTTCTTATGTGATTCATATGTCGTACTTGGAACATCTTCAGGCGAAACACAATTGGAGATGCCGGATTCAGCCTAACTATGTACATATACCCTGTATTTGCTGGAGCGATATGTAGCGCTATGGCAGCATCCATTCACATTTCGTAACCATGCTCCCTTGAATTAAGTGGAGGAATAGCCAGAATTATTGAAAGTAGACAGAATTCGGCCGTATCGGCCATTCAGCAGCGTGATCATAATCTAGCCAAGAAAGTAAGGAGCTTCTTTGCCCTGGCGAGTGCAGTCTCCCAGAGCAAACTTCGTTCGATCATACGCAATAAAGTCGCCAGACAGCTTGTAGCTTACACAGTCACCGACTCTTTCCCTGACGGCATCGAACCAGTCATTGAAGGTGCTCTGCTCAGATAATAATCAAGATACCCCGATATATATAGATATAGCCATATGATGGCCTACGGTCTCACCCACTGCACGCCTCCGAGGCCTCATAGTATTCATGAGAAGAATGCTCACGTCACATGAAGCCGCACGGTTTCATTAATTAATATATATTGCGCCCAGAGCTGACTTGGGCAAAACGTTCATCGAAATCTGTAGTCTTAGGCAAGCTGCAAAATATTTGCCGACTTGGAGATCCACTCCGACTCCATCATATCGCCTAAATCTATGCAGTCAACATCTTCGGCGGCAGACATCCATTCCTCTCTCCCTTTAGCATTCCAGAGCAGATCATGCGTTGGTGGTGGAAACTGTAACTCGCTTGCAGGGAGCGACCAGCTCAGCACCCGCGGAGTGGTACATTCTTCGAAATTGGCAGTGTGCCCATCGCAGCTCAGAGCGCTACAGACCTTGTAAAGGGCTAGAACAAACCGCTTCACCTCTTCAACCCCGACCCAAACAAACGTAGGAAGATCACCGGGCTTGTATCGCGCAAGGATGTTCCGATATTGGAACATGCCCAACTCCCTGCAGCTCCCCACTAATGAGGCGAGAAGACCAGCCTCAATACCAGGTAGTGAAGGTTTCAAATCAAGGCCCACAGGGGTACTGCCAGCGGATACCAAAGAAAAGATGATGTGGAGCAGGATTGCCTGGTACATGGGGATCGGCCAGGTGCACATGCTCGACACATTGTCTGCAATAGACGCATCCCACTTATCCTGTGGTTCCGTTAGCATCCCGGCCACAGATTATAGGTGCAACTACGAACTCTTTGTTGATAGATGGCCTCGTTGAGGGTCTGATGGAGGTCGATTGCTGCAGACTGCGTCTTCGGCACATTAGAAACCCACATCCCAATGGCAACCATCGACTGGATCAGTAGCGGGGTTTCATTGCTCGGGTTGAATGATCCTCTGTGAACGAATGGCCAATGTCGATGAAATCGTTGAAAGTAGAGCTCCAGGAAGTCTTGTGTCTTGACGGGGCGATCCGGCTTGCTCATCTGGCCGAAAGTATTGTCTCCCGTCGACCCTTTTGGATGGTCATGGAAGGAGCAGGGAATACGGCGGCGTAGACATCCGGTGCAGGGTGGCCCGCCTTCACAGCGGGCTTTGAGAGTCCGACAATTGACGCAGGCCTGCCTGGTAGGAATCATCGGCTCATCTTCTGGGTGCCTCTGTCGCACATGTCGACGAAGGGTGTCACTGTATTAGAGGACTCGTAAACACATGCTCTTGGAAAATGAGATCATGTTGGCTTACTTTCGTCCAAAGACTCGACCGCAGACTGGACATTGAGCAGACTGTTGCGGAAGATGTTGGATTTTGTGGCGATTCAGGTGCTCTTTGCGCCGATAGCGTGCATTGCAATCTGGATGGTCGCAGATAAATGTGTTTGGTGGTGACATATTCCTATCAATGTGAATATACGTGGGATGTTCCGGTGGGATGGAGATTGATATGTCGTCGGTGGGATATCCGGCAGTTCCGGCGATCCCACCAGGCTAGTGCTGACTGAATCCTGTATGCCCGCCAATTAGTGCTGGCAATTACTCAACTGTTCACTTTGATTTATCACGCGTGGAGTTCGGTATTGTAATCATGCCCAGCCTGGGTGCCCAGCCTGGGGGAAAGAGGGCGCGAGGGCAGACAAGTATAAATATCCTGTAGTTCCAGTGTAGCAATGATGGCTTCACACTCGCATTCCACACTCGCATACTCACCATTCGAACACCCCAAAGAATACACTCTTTCCAACATGGCTCCCACTATCCTCATTGTCGGCGCAACGGGCAACACTGGCCGAAGTGTAACCGAAACCCTACCTCAATTGCTCAAGTCCAGCAACGCCTTGTCTGATCATCGAGTCATTGCTCTGACACGCTCTCTGAATGGAGCAGTCGCGCTGCAGCTGGCCAAAATCCCCGGTGTTGAAATGATTGAAAAAGACTGGGTTGAAATCACTGCCGACTGGCTCCGGGATCACGAGGTTGTGAGGGCGTTCATTGCATCGCACAACGAACCGAGCCAATTCGCCGAAGAGTCAGGCTTTCACGTTGCTGCCCTCAAAGCCGGCGTGCAGTATGTGGTGCGGATCTCGACCACTGCCGCGAACGTGCACCCAATCTCTGACGTCTACTATCCACGTACGCATTGGGCAGTCGAGGCTCTCCTGAGCAACCCGGAATTCAGCGGCATGCAGTGGACGTCCCTGCAGCCGAACATCTTTTCCCAGTTCTATCTTGCCACAGCTGTGGAGTTTGTCAAACAGTACCGCAACACCGGAAACCAGGGGACTCTGAAGTTGATGGCGTCCGAGGATGCGCCTGTCGGCATTATTGATCCAGATGATGTTGGGGTATTCGCCGCTCACCTCTTGTCTCTGGATGATCCGGCAGTGCACAACAAGGCCAAGTATGTTCTGAACGGGCCGGAGGATATCACGGGGGCTCAGGTCGTCAGCATGGTGGAGCGGTGTATCGGTACCAAGGTCCATGATGTGCGCTATAAAGACATGTCGTTTGTCGACTCGTTAATGCACCTGGGTCATCCAGCAGTGATGGGGACTGTGAGACTCGCCCCCGTGACGTCTTGGGAAGGAAAAGCTAGCGTCGCGACGACGAGCAAGGAGGTGCTGGAGATTGCGCCCCCCAAGCGCACGCCTGCTGATGTGTTCAAGGCTCTTTTGGAGGAGTAAGAGCGGACGTCTACGATGTCCTATGAGATGGAGTTACCTCACATGGAGACTTATCATACTCGATATATCTAAATGTTGGCTTCGGTTTCATACTTGTCTGTTGCTTCCGATATACAAGTCTTAATGCCATGATACAATAGAAATGTTCTTCCATAGTTTTGTCTACTCTTCATAATAAAATTGCAGAAATCACAGGTAGATTCTTTGTTTGAAACCCCCCCAGTTTAACGAATGATCTCTTTGGTATAGCCTTCCACGCATTTGTCGAGCCTCTCAGATGCGACATCGGCATCCTCTATTCCAATCTTGCCTTTCTAGCAATAGGAAATGAGCACAATTGGCAGTTCCTAAGTACAGATAAGTCATTCTGTTCATTAGAGACGTATTCTGATATACACCAGCCCATTGTCCTACTACGTATTGGCACTGCTCAGACATATTGGAGCTGGCGGATAGCTGAGGACAGCGACTTGAGGCGTTATTCAATAGCTGTCTGCCAGTTAATGCGGAACAACTATATAATAGAATAGATCAAGGCCGGCTTCGGTGCAATTCTGCGAATCTCAGATATTCTCATAGATCGAGCGGAGAGATGGTTGCTCCGGCACCGCTCCACTTTCCTTCCTAATCGGGTGTAGTTGCCATCATACATTTCATCGGCAATCGTCATAAATATTTCCAACTTATAACCCATTGCTGCTGCTCAAATTGTCTAGCGCAAGCTAAAAGTATACAGATTGAAATGCTCTCCCTCAATACCTCCGCCTACTCCCCTCCGTCGGGGTATCAAGTGTCGGATCTGCCCAAGCCCGAGATCTCCAACCCCAAGGATGTGCTCATTAAGGTCCACGCCGCCAGCATCAACCCGATTGACGTCAAGAAGGCAAGCGGTATGCTGAAGATGGCAGTCCGCGACGAGTAAGTCACACATGTTCACTACGTTTTTCACCGTCACAAACTTACTGTTTATCGGGCAGATTCCCATACAAAATTGGCTACGATTGCGCAGGAGTTGTTGTAGAGACGGGCGCAGAAGTAGGCCGACTCAAGATTGGCGATGAAGTATACACAAGACTTCCAGAGTACTCTAGAGGTATTGGCGTTGTTCCTTAACTTCTCGATTTCGACCGACTCTAACAATGACAATAGGCTCCTGCAGTGAGTATGTGAAATGTCCAGAGCAAGATGTCGCCTTGAAGCCGCCTTCACTGTCCTTTGAGGATGCAGCTTCCATCCCCCTTGCGGCGATGACCGCTCTTCAGGCACTGAGGAAGTATGATGATGATCTTGCTGGGAAGACGGTACTTGTCCCGGCCGGCCGTATGTGACCCGCCCCTTCTATTGTCTACGCCTTAACCATGCTATAGTTAGTGGAACGGGATTGTTTGCATGCCAGCTTGCCAAGCATCTATTCAAGGCCGGAAAGGTGATCACCACCGTGTCCACCTCGAAAATCCCAAAGGTAAACGAGCTTCTAGGCGATGGAGTTGTCGACGAGAGTAAGTACCCAGCACCGTAGGATCATCATTGGGAGCGTCACTAATCCATACAGTCATCGACTACACGAAGAATGATCCCCAGAAGGTGATCGAGCGCGGGTCGGTCGACTTCCTCTTTGACACTGTTGGTGTCTCCATGCCATACCTGAGCCTGATGCGGCCAAAATCTGGCTGCATTATATCCATCTCGACAATGCCATCTGGCGATCAGCTCCAGGCATCGTCTATCATGCAGCTGCCCAACGAGCCAGCACTTTCGTTGCCAATCCGACTCGGCCTCAATTTGATGGACTGTACGCGTAGATTTCGCGCGCGACGCTACGGTGTGACCTATTCGTACATGTTCCTCGAAAGTAGCCACGAGGATTTGGATTTGTTGAGAGGTCTTGTCGAGGAGGGCAAGCTGAGAACGGTGGTGGGCACGACTGCCAGTCTCAGGGATGTTGAGGCTGTCCGAGATGCGTGTCAGGTAGTATACAGTGGCAAGGGTGGTCTGGGCAAGACTGTTATTAAGGTGGATGAGGAATAGGTCTGCCTGGACTCCAGATATGTGTAATAGTACTATTATGGAATTTCTTAATGCTCAATTTTGATAAATCACGATCTACCCGTTACTAGATGGCGATTTTTTCGCAAAAAGGTGTAATAGTTGTATATCACAGTTTACTCCGCATGTATCCATGATTTCTGCTCGAGTTTTATCCACGGTAGAAGTGTCTTACCTTACCTTCATGATGCCCTGGAATAAACCACAAAACAATAGGCCTGCCTGCCCAGAATCATGGACGGGAAGAAGAAAATTTCAAACGACAATAAAGGGCAAAGTCCCCATAATTTTTAATCCGATGCCGAGGTTCTCAATTCTTGCACCGTCTTGATCGGGGCATTAATCCATCCGACCGAGTTACTCAGCATAAGTCGGATCAAAGCCATTCTTATGAAGATTTTACTATTCTCAGGTATGGGTCATATCTAAACGCGAATTGCCACCTATTCTTCTCAAATGTAGCAGTAACGGGCTCATGCTCCTTGTATAGGAGTGGCAAACCGTTGTAGGTCTGTCAAGTGTATGAGTCTTGTAAACCAGTCATGATGTCAACATACAAGCTAAAATGGTCTCTATATTTACATTCCCTGATCTATCAAAGCTCGCAAAGCAAGTTCATGGTGTAGAGTTGTAGCGTCCAGTGGGCTGACTGGAATGTAGGTTGGTGATATGCCATGGACCAGGCGTGTCACGATCCTCATCTCGTTGCCCACTCTTCTACTAACTCGACTGTAAATGTTTCGTTGGTATCTCGTAGATTTCCCTCCAAACTGTTGCTCCTCTGCTACTCGCTTATCTCGCATGTTGGGAATAGCAACAGACCAGTCCAGCGTACGGCTGTCGGTCAATGATGGCCATCTCACAGACCCTTTACAAGATCCTGTCCAGGAAGGACCAGATTACCAAAGAAAGCTACGTCCGACTCCAGCAATCTGCCGACGATATCACAATCCTGCCAGAGCACACCGATGAAAGAAGACCCGGAGCTGAAAATGTACCGACAACATGGCAAGCCGAAGCCCAATACATCAGTGCGAACGGCGCCCCGATGGCTCTCGCATGCTTACTGGAATATTCACTATCGACAACCACTCTAATCACAGTCGGGCGCCTTGGAATCATTGAGCTGGGCGCCGCCAGCCTGGCAAGTATGACGGCCAACATGACCGCGTACATGATCTACTATGGTCTAGCCACAAGCATGGACACATTGTGCGCGCAGGCATACGGGGCCGACATGACGCACCTGGTCTCGGTACATTTCCAATGCATGGTCTGCTTTCTGTACATAGTGACGGTGCCGATTATAGCCCTGTGGTCTGTTGCAGACAAGATACTTCCGAACGTGATACGACACGAGGAGACCGCTCTGCTTGCTGGTAGATATCTACAGGTGGCTGCGTTTGGGACCCCTGCGTATGTCGCGTTCGAATGCGGCCGGCGGTATCTCCAGGCACAGGGCGTATACTGTGGTTCTATGTATGTCTTGATGGTTTGCGTTCCGTTCAATGCTTTTATGAACTGGTTCTTGGTCTGGGTATGCCGTGTCCGTATTCCGAGGACATCCAGCTACACTCTAACACGGCTTCTAATAGTACTGCAACATGGGTTTCATCGGTGCACCTGTGGCCCTAACCATCACTGACAACCTGCTCCCCTGGTGTCTCCTGCTCTATGCCTACTGGGGAAAACGGGATAAATGCTGGCATGGATTCACCCGGCAAGCACTCCATGGCTGGGGCCCAATGATCCGTCTCGCAATCCCAGGGTTTCTCACAGCCGAAGCAGAGTCCCTCACATGGGCCATCAACACAGCCGTCGCTTCGTACCTGGGGCCTAACGCGCTCGCAGCGCAAACAATCCTGTCCACCGTCGTCCATATTGCCTGGCAAATATCGTATGCGCTCTCCAATTCTACAAGAGTGCGGATTGGAAACTGGATCGGCGCTGCGAGTGAGTACGCAGCCCGCACCGCGAGCAAAGCCGCGCTCTATGTGGCGCTTACATCGGGCGTTGCTATCATGGCATTCCTGCTTGCGTGTCGAGACTACATTGCGAGAACGTTCACGACAGACGCCGGGGTGATTGACTTGGTACTTGGCATTATTCCGCTGTGTGGTGTGGCCCAGCTCTGCGAGGCATCCAGTATGGTTGCCGGTGCGGTTCTTTGCGGTATTGGACGGCCGCATGTTACTTCCTGCGTGCAAGGGCTGGCGTTCTTGGTGACGTTGCCGACTATACTGGGCACGGTATTTGGGCTTGGGTGGCATATTTACGGCCTGTGGGTGGCTGCTATACTGAGCCCGCTTTGCGCGGCGTGCGTGGAGTGGGTTTTCCTGAGGGGAGTAAGCTGGAAGGCGTGTATAGACGATGGGATGAAGAACCTGGGCGTGTAGGACCAATCTGTTATCAGTGGAATTGAAGTGTGGGGTCTATGCTTCTGCTATTAGTCCTATGTATATGGGTGTTATACTGGCGTTTATTGAGGCAGTTCTGTATACTTCATTTCCTCCAGAGCCGCACTAGGGAGCACATAATATGCATCCTAGCCCAGCCAATACCAGGAAACCAAGTTCCACTCCGTCAAATCCCTCAGTATCCTCCACTTTGGCGAGCAGAAGAGGGACGACGCCTGTACTTAAATTCAGCAGCCCCGTCATGATCCCAAAGCCAAGGGTAACCAGGTCATTATCTTCCGTGTAGTCAGTGTTGCAGAGAGCGTCTGCCATCTGTCGTTCCCGTCCACCGTCAATTGATGGTCTGGTTGACTGGGCCTCGTTTCTAAGGCTTGCGCCTCGCTCTCGCCCGTCTGCATCCGAGACTCTTGACAAATCGTGATGTGCCAGAACCGCAGACATAAGACACTCTGCGACGGTAACCCAGAAGGCGACTCCGAAAAGTGCAAAGGCAGTTCCAAAGAGAACAAGTGGCAGAATAGGCGATACGCGCGACAAGAAGAGAACGTGGGCAGTGATGAGGAGTAAGTTGGTCGCCACCAAGGCGCAAGGAGGATTTCCAAGCCATGGCATATCCAACAGCACCCGAATATTGGAGCGAGTAGTCCAGAGAGGGCGTATGGAATACTAAACATCAAGACTAATCAGCTTTGGTGCATTTTAAATTTGATATCGTCGCGAACCTAGCTGCAAGGCCCGCTGATCTCTCATCGCCATTATAAAAACATGAAGCCAAAAACCGTTGCGCCGAGTTGTTGAAGGAGTTGATTCCGCCATAGCCTAGGATGGATACCAGACTCAAATCCCAGTATATGCGGGGAAGATGGCGCAATGAAGCGACGGGCTTGGTCTTGGGACTGGTGACCTGTGGGGGCACCGCGTTTGTGATGGCTAGGAGGCTGGCTGTGCTGATTGTAACAACAGCAGTGGACAGTAAAGTTCCGATCCAGGTTGCAGCCACCACACCAATTTCATGGATCAATCTTGGAAGAAGGACGGACGTAGTGGCGCTCCCTAGTCGAGATACCGCTAAAACCAAAGCCAGTGCAAGTGATATCTGCTTGTTTCTACCGATAGATAGGATAGGCGATTGCGGATCAGCATGAAGCGTACTTTAAACGGGAATAGTCATGAGGGAACCGTACTTGAACCATCGTGCAATAATTTCGCTCCCTAGCACGCCAATCACCTCGGCGCCCAGTCCGATAAAAACACGCCCAAGTATCATCCACAGCTGAGAACGGACCTGAACGGCCAAGGCAAAGAGCAGTTGGCCCATTGCCACACTAGTAGCGGTCGTGAGAAGAACTGCTTTGGATCCGCAGCGCTGCACTAAGGGCCCAGAGAAAGCCGGGAGGACGGTGTTTGGGACCGCATAAGTAGTATACAAAGCCGATATCAGGTAGGCATATTGGGACTCTGCAAGAGCGAGGTGGGCGGACAGGGGAACGGATAGCGATGCGGGAAGACTATAGACTGCACCGCCCCCAGAGTCAGTAGGAAGTGGGATCCGGCTGTATGAGGAACATACTGAAATATATAGCCCACATCATACTACAGACCATGGCCAGAACAGTCCAGTGTCTGCCAAGGGCTGGTGTGGTCGTTGCGCCAGCCATTGTCCCTTATCATGACCAAGTACTGTGGAGGCCAGGAGCAATAGAATAGATAAGTGAAGGCCGAGGACCATTAAGTATCGGCATCGGATAAAGTAGAAACCTATGTAATTGTAGCTTGATGGTGGCTTCTGATCTCCATGGCCGACATCGGGAATGCCTTGACTTTTGGCTATCCATCTATTTCCTGAGCAGTGAAACGGTATATTAGTTCATGGAACTAAGTATCAGTGGATTCTATTTCATTGTCATTGGTGACGCGTCTTTCGGCCTTTGATGATTCGAACACTCCATATCCCAGCCTATGGAATCAAAGATCCAATATCGCCTTCCGAAGGTAATTCTGTCGTTCTCTCCGCACCAAAATGAATCACATACCGTTTCTGAGCTTTTCAATGAGGCTGCTATGTGGTAATAACTGCTTGACTAGATATTTTGTCACTCCGAAAATCAGTCTCCCTAGTCATAGGGTCGACCATTACACCCAGTCGAGGCGGAAGCACACACGGCATTTGACATGATGGAAGAGCGACAGCTGGTCCTACCGATTGACGTTCTCGATCCTCAAGATGCAGATGTATACGTTCACCCCAGCATATACCACAGCTATGAGCAGCACAGAGGCAGATACTCGCGGGTCTCTGCGTCAGTACGTGCAGGAACGGTTGTATTTGCAGACGCACCGTACGCTTTAATCCCTACCGTGGACCCTACTAGTAAGGGCTCTCTGATCTGCAGCAACCTTATGTGTCGACGACAAGTGAAGTGGGATTTGGAGTGCGTGACATGCCCAAATGATTGTATTCGGGATGTTGTTTGGTGCAATTCAGCCTGTCGCATACAGGACCAGGCGCGCCATGATTTCGAATGCTCATGGCTGAAAAAGCATGGAGTCACCCTTCGACAACGAGAGGGCGAGTATGACTTTTGCATGCTCTGGTTAGTAGTGCGCCTTGTGGCTGCACGAAGATTAGAGATGGAGTATGATCCAACCTCGCACGAGAGGTATGGCTGGGAGGATCGATTCAAGCGTGGATGGCAAGCAATCGAAGAGTTCTCCACCAATCGCCATTTGTGGCCAGATGCTACAATCCAGCACTGGGAATATCTCATCCAGACATATTTACGAAATTTCCCCGGTTTTCCAGGACCTACTGAGCTGCTGGGTCTCATTTGCCGCGAAGAAATCAACTCGTTCGGCCTTTATCCTGGCATAACAGGAACGCTACCTCCTGGACAGCAACGGAAACGGGGCCAGCAGTATGGGTTAGGCTGTTATCCAAGAGCCACAATGTTGAACCATTCGTGTGTTCCAAATGTAGGTCTCTTTGCAGGCCAGGAAAAGAAAAAGGCTGACAAGAACAGCTTAACCGCGCGTCGGACGATCGCGGACGCATGGTTATCACTGCAAACCAGGACATTGCTGCAGACAAAGAATGCACTATTTCATACTTTGATCTGGTAGAGCATGCGGACCTGGAAGATAGACAGAGGTTGACTCATGAGATGTTTCTGTTTTCTTGTACTTGTCAGCGTTGTCTAGTTGAAGCCGACAAGGGATCTATGCCGACAACAGGGAGATATGACACTTTAGTTTGCAACGGAGAACGTCAGTGACTATGAGTTGATGATCTGGAATCTCCTTCCTGTCCGAGGATAGATAGCACGACTCTCTGAGAGTGCAGTTGCCAGGACTGCATAAGGGGTAGGTGTCAGGACGGTATCGCAGGAACTACGCCAGTTGACGAAAAGGGGCAAACTTGCACGCAACATCCATCATGGCCGACATAGTAACCCCGTTTGACCTCGCTGTCCAGCATCTGCAACGTGTGATAAAGTGCTTGTGTCTCCACGACTGCTCCCATCTAACGTACTCCTGGCGAAATGCACACTCCTTCCATGAATCAGGCTGCTTGGCGTCGCAGTTAAGTTCTAAAAGGAAGTCAGAAACGCCCATGTAGCAAAAGACGGATAAGAATAATAGTGTAACTGGTTCCTGATGTTGATATCTATTTTATTCTAGATTTTTTGAACTGTCTCGCTGCACGCCTCTAATATATGCTGCAAAATATTTCAAAGTCTTTCCCACAGAGTATACTAGAACGAATTTAATCCGTTGATGTCCTCTAGCAAGATATCTTGGCCTTCATCTACGACTTTACGGACTACATCTAAGTTACCTGCCTTGCTGGCAAGGTAGAGGCAAGTCTAATGAGACCTATCCAGCCGTGAGATACCAGCACCATTCTCTATCAGCCACGACAGAATGGCTAACGCCTAATTTGTGAAAAATTAACACACGCTGAAGCTAGTCCCCACAGGCGTTGGCAATGGTGACGTGGGTGGTTTGGCTCTCAAGAGGTGTCTCAATGATGTTTCTTCTAGCTGTTGACGGTTCCAATCAGCTCATTCTGAGAGTATCATCGCTTGCATAATTCGTGATCAGGTCAGGTAACTCCATGGCGTCGCCAGCCGCCTCCAATTCCTACCACGATTGCAAACTGAGCGTGGAGAAACGTACGCCATTTCAAAACCAGTGCATTCTAGACGCAGTGGCAGCGATAGAACCATGGTTAAAGCCGCTCAAGCAACTGAGAGTACTAAATTAGCGTTTCCTCACGACTCTCGTTTTATCAAAGTTAAGATTGTGACGAATAACTACATACAAAAGCCGATTCTAAACTGTATCCGACAAGCTTTCAAGGGCAGCATTAGCACCCCCATATCGACCCGATGTGGCTGAGTAAAAGATATGTCCAACGAGACATAAGGCCAACGCCTCTACAAACCGTTGCTGTCGATCAGACAACTCTCCAGACACCTTCAGTCTTTTGAATTCTTTGGAGAAATCAGTTTCCATATCGAGAATGGATTCGCGAACGAGCTGCTTCGCGATGGGCCTGGAAACCCGATGGACATTCCGCACGACATCAACCGCATTGATGAGGACCGCACCCGTCCTGCAATGATCGCCGTATTCCTTGTCGAACGAGTACAGGTCGTTGGTTAGAGAGATGTGGTCGGAGTAGAGACCGATGAGTCTATCGAAGACTTTCATTTCCGGTTCGGAGAGGTGGGCGTTGCTTGCAAATGCAGCTTGGGAGAGGAGTAACCTGGCTGCTCTTAGTCTTATCCAGGAGATATGTTTAGTACCTCTTACTCGCGCCCGATATCCAAAGATCGATAATCCAGATAATTCCGCAGGGAATCAAAAACGGTAGGTGGGATTGATTGGTAGCCCTTTGTGTGTTTGATCCATGCGAACGCGCCGGTGAGGAGGCCTTTCCCTAGGATGGGTTCTTCGTCGATTATAGCTTTCAAGAAGCCGTGAAGAGGGTGCTGCACCCTGTTATCCTTGGGGGCCAATCCAGGGAGCCATGATTGCATCTGTGATTGTAGAGCCCTGAGGTGATCGTGAGACAGATGTGCGATTGGGAGGAATGGGATGAATCTTACTGCATCCACCGGGGATTCTTCGACAACATCTGCGAGGACGAAAGGCAGGTTATGTACATGTTCATACTTCATTAGGGCCTTTACGCATACTTACCATCGTGCAAGAAGATAAGCAGCATAGACTGCGCTATCATTCCAGCTCTCACCGGACTGGCATCGGGGAACATGTAAACCGTCGATTTGACAGCGGTGGCGATGAGTTCTTTCTCTTTTTGTGATCGTTTATCGGTGGAAGTTTCCTGTAAATCCACGGGGAGCTTGCCGTCATCCTGTGGTGCTTTTTTGTAGATAGCATAGAGAAGCTCTTTCGTCATGCGTTCTGCCGTTTCCCAGTGCTTGCATTGACGGCAGCCAGGAAGCTTACTGGGCCAGGGGATACCCATCACTGAGGGGCATAGAGGGATCGAATTGGAGTAGTCGTCGCCATTGGTGGCTTCGACAAAATCAAACGGACCGCTATCGAAGGCGCTGCTGTTAGACGTCTGGATCGGGTCATAAATATGGGAAATTGGCATGAAAAAATTGGTTTTCAGGTTGTTGGCCAACGAGGACATTTGTATTGATGGGCTCATCATGCTTTAAGTGATGGTATGTATGACTGACAAGGATGAAAATACTGTCTCGCAGCGACAACAAGTAGGAGCCTGGCCCCCACAGCCGGATTTCCCGTATTTAAGATCATCAATGAATCTTTATCCTATCTGCGTGACATCACTATATGGCATCTGCCCCTCTGGTTATTTAACTTACAAGTTACATGTTTGCCAAAAAGGATTGAATAGCCGAGTTTAGGGCATAAGATTTCGAGATAGGCTCACATGCAGAAGCCACTGGGGCCACCTATGAAGATCACTTCCCTTACATGGGATTGCACGCCGCAGATGTTACCAGATAGAGGCAAAGTGCGGGCAAGTGGGTACTAGTTTTGCAAGGAACTGGATAGTTTTAGTTAGTTCTCGGCTTGTATAGCAAGCTGAAGATTCTCTGGGAAAGATGAACATGCAATAATTGAATGGTGGGCATGGTCGAAGATGTTTGATATCGGGACGAGACGTACTGTATGTACAGTAGATCTTCGGCCCTAATCTTATGTGGGACCATCGAACCGAGAGTGGCAACACGCAAACGCTACGAAAACCCAACCTGGCAGCTATCGGGACGATCTCGACGATAATACAAGAACTCGTATTCGAAGAACAAGCAGAAAGGACAAGGACGGTGGGCCTGAGCTACGAGATGAGCGCAAAAATGGCGGTGATGAACCGTGCAGCCTGAAGACTGAATATCTACTCGACATACTCAACAACTAAATGAAGAGAAGTTGACAATATTGTACACTATTTGCTTCAAGGGTTATGAAAGAAATTCTTCTCCTATATGCCCAGGCCGCTGGCCTCGTGGGAGCAGCATACTTTCTGGTTCTCGCCATTTACCGTCTATGGCTCTCCCCGATCGCCCACTTTCCAGGCCCGAAGCTGGCTGCCCTCACCCTGTGGTACGAGTTTTACTATGATACCATCCTACATGGCCAATTTACCTTTGAGATTGCCCGAATGCACCGGAGATACGGTTAGTCTTATTGCGCTCCTAACCAAAATCAGGATTAATCCCAGCTTCAGGACCAATTGTACGAATTAGCCCGTATGAGCTTCACATCGATGACCCGGAGTACTACGAGGTGCTCTACTCGCGCGACAGTCCCCGGAACAAATACGAATACTACGTCCGCCAATTCGGACAGCCGAAGGCCGCCTTCTCGGCCGTCGAACATTCCCGCCATCGCCTCCTAAGGGCGAGCATGAATCCATTCTTTTCGCTGACTCGGATTCGGCGGCATGAATCGAGGATCAAGGCTTTGGCCGATAAACTCACCCAGAGACTCAACGAGTTCCAAAATACAGGGAGGCCAATGGTCATTCAGCATGCGTACACCTGCTTCACGACCGATATTGTCTCGGAGTACGTTGCGGGTCAGGATTTCCATTACCTTGATTCCCCCGACTTCATGCCACAGTGGTGCGAAACGCTTAGTGGAATCGCCAAGGCCGGAGTATTTTTCAAGCCGTTCCCCTGGCTGCATTCTGTTATGAAATGTCTTCCGCAGAGTTGGGTTTCGCGGGTCGACGCAGGGATGGGATTGTTCTTCAGCTTCCAGCAGCGATGCGCAAGCTTGATTCAATCCATCACCGATAGCGAGAATAACCAACCGGGGAAATCGGCAAATAATACACGCGCCCACACTGCGTTTTTCCATGAGGTCTTGAAAAGCGACCTGCCGCCCTCCGAGAAGAGCGCGGAACGGCTCGCTCAGGAGATGCTGATTGTTGTGGCTGCTGGTGCGGAGACAACGGCCAAGGCGTTGACCTGGATTACTTTCCACTTACTTAACAAACCGGAACTTCTGCAAAGATTGCTGGATGAGCTGCAGAGGTTGGATCCGAATCAGACCGCATCGTTGCTGCAGCTCGAGCAAATGCCGTACTTGGTGAGTTTCAGTACCAGTTGGGAACTAGTCGTCTCTGTCTCTAACATGACACGCAGAACGGAGTCATACTTGAGGGTCTCAGGTAGGTTGAGTTAGGATCAAGTGCGGAATATTGCTAAGCATAGTGTTGCAGGTTATCTTACGGGATCAGCTCTCGCTTACCGAGGATCGCACCAGATAGAGCATTACATTATAAAGAATGGACCATTCCACCGGGAGTAAGTGTGCTCATCTGGAATTTCCACGGACAACTACCGACGGAGAGCAGACCCCAGTTGGAATGACCAGTGTGTTTATGCATCATAATGAATCCATCTTTCCAGATTCGCATCGCTTCATGCCGGAAAGATGGTTGGACCTGCAGACCAGAAAACACCTCGAGAAGTACATGGTTGCGTTCAGCAAAGGGTCTAGACAATGTATCGGGATGAAGTACGTCTCTTCTATCCGATGAGAACGATCTGAAGGTGTACTGACGTCTTAAGCTTGGCCAAATCCGAAATGCTGTTGGCTGTCTCCAAAGTCTTTCGGGAAGTGAAGTTTGAACTGTTTGAGACGACAGTCGAGGATGTGACCATGGCACATGAGTTATTTCTTCCATTTCCTAAAGTAGGAAGCAAAGGTGTGCGGGTCATTGTCAGGAGTTGATCTTGATTCCTGTCTATGCATAAGCCATGTGAAGGTACCTACATTATGATGACCGCCAGGTTTCCTATCAGGAGTCTTTGCAAATAGGACCTCCAATGTGCTCAATACATGTATGTGGTGGTCTATAGTTAGCAACAAAAATTGCTGGACGAGATAATGCTGGTCGGTGTAAACGTCCGCTAAGAACTCGAATAGCCGATTACTGCACTATTCTTTCATGAAAACACCAGGCTTGCATTTTATCCACATGCTAAGTGCTAGCTTAGCATACACTATCTAACTCTTTTTTCTCGAGTTGTAGTGATGACAGATGTAATACAGGATTCAAAGGCCTTTGTTAACTTCTAAACTTCTACAGAGTATAGAGTCATTCAACATAGAGAGTCTTATCCTCGTGCTAAAGAGCTTCAAGCTCACCTGATGTGGGATGTGCTTATCATGAAGAATTCTTTATATACGCGACTTCTATAGGGCCAGAATATCTATCTCTTCCTTTCTCGGTTGCCAAATATTCTTCTTTCATAGTTTCCAATAAAATAAAGCTCCCTTCATCACTCAAACACATTGCGTCGGTGTTGGTTTCATTCTCTCAAAGCCTTCTTTTAAATCGGGGTTTCATCCGCCATAATGACAGCAAAGGAACCTTTACCACCAGATATCTATGACACCCTGATACATCACAAAGAACCCGTCCACAATGAGCCTGGCTTAGTGCACAATATACTGCGTTGCGCGTCCCCATGTGGTAGGCCACCAAGGGTATAAAAACCCT